TCATTAAGAAAAATGTCTTAAGAACAGAAATACCATCACTTGAATAATTTAAGGATACCGAATTTGGGCAAATGTTATAAATAAATGTCTACTTAACAAATATTTATTTCAATGTAATGAGAAATGGTTACCATTCCAGCTCTCTTAAAATTTATTCTATTGTTTTAAAAAATAGAATATCAAAATAATAGAATAGCAAAGCAGAATATAAAAATAAAACATAGCATTCACATTAATAAAACTAGTATAATTATATTATCTTGAGTAAAATATTGCTTTAGCAGTGTCAAACAGAACTGTTAAACTATTATATTCATGAAAACTATTTAGTATTTTAAAAACCTGCAATTGTGGTGTATATATACAGTAGAATACACTCCACTAAGAAAAGATGAAGTTTTATTTATATATTTATTTTTTTTTTGCTACATCTGGTTTGAATGGAAGGTGTCGTGCAGCAAAGTCAGTCAGGTGGAGAAAGACAAAAATTAGATGATCTCACTCATAGAAACATAAAGAAACAGCAAAGGACTAGATAAAGTTCGGTAAAGGAAACCCTTAACCTCTGACGACAGCGTTGCAGTGACCTTAGGGAGGAATGTGGAAGGGGAGTGTCTTTTGGACTGCAGTGCAAGGTTCTGGCACTTTAGGGGTATATATAGTGTGGTAACCACATTAACCCCTAAAACCTACATTTATACACTTGTAACTAGTATTAACTCAAAAAAATTAAGAGGCTTCAGGCAGTTAGTAAAGGGAGAAAAAATATGCTGAGTAAAAACTAATTTTAAAAAAACTTATCATTTAAAATGCTTACTGAAAAAAAATACCAGAAATAAGTTTCATGCTAAAATATTTCAATGGTTGTCTAAAATGCTACAGAAAATTTTCATCTAAGGTTTTTTATTTTACTCCCTTTCTTCTTACTAAATGTACGTTAACCAAAAAACCCTCAAATGATCTAGACAAAAGCTTTTAGCTCAACACATAATTGCAAGAAAATTACAATAATTGTACCAATTAAAATAATCTTGAATGAACAGTATGTCATCTTAATGTTCCAATGGTTTATAGAGGGATCTACTTAATTAGCTGAAATTGCTTCCCAGTGTTAGTATCAAATGTCATTTGTTAAAAGTTGAACAATTTAGAAAATAATTTAACAAAGCAATTTCACCAAACACCAAGAACCAACATTTTCTTTTCAGCTGAATAAAGCAAGCAGATGTGTCATCAAATCTCTATAAAAATAAATGAAGCTTTTTATGGATTAAAAAAATAAATTTTACTACCAGCGTTAAAAATACTATTTTCTGATTGTTTTCACAAAATCAGATTTCTTTAATACAATAAATGAATATCAATTATATACTGCTGCTTTTTGTCTGCTATAAATAATTTTTTTATTATTTAAATGACAAGCAACAGCATCAAGCACTTAACCATGGTTAACTAGAAATAGTCATCTGAATCATTTTAACCTCTTTCAATAACTAGAAATAGCTGTCTAAATTATTTTAACCTAATCCAACAGGGATTTTCAATGTGTTGAACAAACTATCTTCTTAGAGTTAAATAATTTCATCTTAATAAATTTGTATGAAGTCAATTCCTCAATGAAATTTTAAAGCAACTTTAGCATTATCTTTTTCCCTTCCTTAGACTAGCTACAAAGCATTATTTGTATTAGCATGCATAAGACATACATCATAAAAAATTTAAAAAGTTACCCCAAATCACCCTGCATTTAAGCAATCCATAAAATGTAGGTCACCAAGCGATAAAATATAAATTCTAGATTGGTTTAATACAAAATAAAGTTTTAGCCACCTTATCAGAACTCTACCTCTAATACAAAATAGCCCTATATTCACGTTAGCAATAAAATGGTCTATAAAAATTCACTCCGATTATTTTATTAAATGATAAAAAGGCCCTCCCAAAACATACCTTTTTTTAAGGAAAAAGTTCTATTTCATAAGCAAGGTGAAAAAACATTATTTTAAACATCAGGTGACATATTGTTCTATTTTGTCTATAATATGCACCTTAATTAATTAAAGTGTAAATTTTTGAAAATTTCCTTAAATATTAGGAAGTTATATATATCTGTGGTTCATTCAAGAGCTAAAAATTAGAATAAAAGTTTTAAAAGGTAAAATAATTTTATATCAGAAAAAATGTTTAGCCTGAAACATTTCCTATCACCCAGAAAGCAATGTTTTAGTCTGACACTGATAAAACTTATTAATTGGCTAACTGTTTCAGACATAACACATTCTACTTTCCTCTAGTTTCAAATATGTATGCTTGATCTTCAATCAGAATAAATAAGTTCCTTAACACTCTGGTATTTAGGGACAAAAGATATATTTGTATGTAATTTATTGAAATGGCTTATCTCAATATATTCTATTGCACCAAAAGAGATAACAGGAGGCAATTTGAATGCAAATGGAAAAGTAAAGTAAAATCTTAATAACAGACGAATCTGAATAAGGGGCATGTGAATATTCTTTGTGAATATTCTATTCTTATTCTAATAACTTTTTTTAAGTTTGAAATTATTTTCTAATAGAAAAAAATGCTAATTAAATAATGTGTAAATTCCTCAAAAACTTAAGATGCTTTCTACATTTGTCTCTTTTACTTTTCAAAATCCAGGGAAGTCATTAGGTCTCCAACCCCTACTCATCTTAGTTTAAAAAGAGTCAAGATTTCAGCAACGCATGTTATATTCAAATGATTATATCTAAAATGAGATCCAGTTACTCCTTACCCTCTTTTTCAGTATCTTATTTTCTTGCCACTATGTCAACAAAAATCAATCAGGAAGCTCCAGAACTATTAACTTCTAAAGTAATGTCCAATGACAACAAAAAACCAAATTTATACAAACTCCACTCTACATTTTCTATATAATTCAACATAAAAGGATAAAATTAATTCTTATAAAGAAATTAGATGTTTAAAAAAAAGGATGTGATTTTACCTGAATAACTCCCATGCAAAATGAGAAAACTAGTATCTCCTACACTACAGAACTGTAACAGTGAAAGGACTTATATGTAAAGGGCTAAGAATAGTGAACCACCTTTTTTACATTTAATTTGGTAGTTCATGGAGCCACAAAAATGTGGACTAAAACAGCTCTGCTACCTAAAAGCTGAGTGAGTAGAAAGTTTCTTTCTGAAGCACAATTTTTCTGGTTAATAATATGAACCACTTCTCTGAGCTTTACAAGACTGTAGCAGGGCATCTGGCAGAGAAGCCAGCACTAAGGAAAAAATTTGGGCTATTCGATGCCAAAAGGAGAAATCCTAATTGCTAAGCAAACTTTCCTTCTCTATTTATTTATTTATTTTTTGGATGTTGGGATCACCCAGGGTTTCACGTATGTAGGGGCATGCACTCAAGAACTGTGCCATATCGCTGGCCCAAACTTGCATTGTTAAATAAGGACACATATGAGACATTCAGCTCTCCTGTTACCAAGTTTTCAAATTTCTTGAAACTAAGCATACTGTTTAAAAGGAACAATACCAAGTCAGTTTCCTAATAATTTAGTTCATGTAAACTACAGCTAGTTTAGCCTAAGTTAAATCTGTATTTAATTAGAATACTAAATTAAACTCTATAATATACTAACTCTATAATTATTCACTACAACTCTTTAAAAAAGATATTGATGTAGAAAATAGCAACACGTATATGAAAAATGGGTACTGGAAATAGTGGGAAACTGTACACTGACAATGCTCTGGAAAAATTAATGGAAACTTTACAAATTTTAGTATATGAACAATAGACTTTTGTTAGATTTAATATTTCATTTATATGCTTAAGAAAATAGTTTCAATTATATCCAATTTTATCAAATTTGTTTATGTAGTTTCCTTGCTTTATATTCTTTAAACAACATTTAATTTTGAGTAGCAACCAGAAACTGTAAATGCATTAAGAAATCTGTAAGTAGGTCATACTTTTATTTGTGAATTTGACAAAAAAATATGCAACACTCATAACTTTACATATTTGACTTCTCACTGTACCTTAACTGCTTATCTTTCCAAAAATTTACTTCAAATGGTTGACTAATAAAAAACAATAAATTCCTTTACTTTTCAATGCAAGCTATATTTTATAGTCAGTATTGAATTCCTCAAATGCTCTAGCTATAAAGTTGCAAAGACTAGTGATAGGAAAAATATAACATCCTTTGTCTATGAAGGCAAAGAATAAAAATTTTAAAAAAACCCAAATGCTTTAAAGGTTTAAATTTCATATACAAATACTGGTACCTATAAATGCCATATGTATTCCAACAATAAAGCAAAAATAATTATACATTTTTATCATGGTTATATATAAAAAAAGAACAAAGTTGCATTTTTTTCTTATGAGAAATACTTGTGCTAATAAAACTGCAGGATACAATTAATACAATTAATGAGAAAGATGAATAGTATCCAGAAATGTATCTTTGAATTTTGTGAGAGTGTGTGTGTGTGTGTTTGGGTTTTGTTAGGGTGTGTGTGTGTGTTGTGTGTGTATGTATCTTAGAGCCACATCTTGCAGTGCTCAAGAATTACTCCTGCTACCAAGCTCAGGAATCCTTGGTGGTGTTAGGGTGACCATATGTGTTGCCGGGTTTTATACATGTAAGGCAAGAGACTTAACCTCTGTGCTAATTCTCTGCCCCCTAGAAACATACTTTTGGGGTGGGGTATGGACCATTCCCTATGTTGAACTCAGTGGCTACTCCAGGTTCAGTGCTTGTGGGTCATTCCTAGCAGTGCTTGGGGAATAATGTGATTCCAGAGATCAAACCCTGGGTTGCTACATGCAGAGCTTATACTCCAGTCCACTGACTTATTTCTCCCAGGCTAGGGAAATGAACATCTTATATATACTATCTTATACTCATTTTAATTTATATGCATTAACATTATTTTCCTGAAAAGTCAATTCAATCAAAATAAAATGGTTAAACAATGTACCTTTCATAGATGGTTTTTAGTGTCATTTGATCTGGAATACCTTCAGTCTCTTCCAAATAGAGTATGAGCCAGGAAGTTCTGTATGGCCACTGCTCAGTAAGATTGATCCAACTAGCAAGCCGATCCCAGTTGAAACTAATCTGGTTGGCTCTCAGTAACCGCCCTTTAAGAAATACAGAAACATTTTAATGTTAACTAGATGTTAAGCAAAAAATTTAATATATTCAAAAATAATTTAACTTCAAATCTTGAAAGATAACATTTAATTTATAATACTATTTCAAACCTAGTATTTATATGGTTTTATTTTAAATTTTTATTAAGGCACCACAAATAACAATACTGCAAATGACAGAGTTTCATACATACAGTGACCCACCACCACAGTGTCAGTGTTCCTCCAACAATGTCCCCAAATCCCCTTGGGAGACTTAGTTCTGTAGGCAGACTCTCGGGACCTACTGTCATTGGTTATTTGTCATTCCCTTACTATGTTACTTTATATTCCACATGACAGAAATAATTCTGCATTTGTCTCTCTCCTGACTGACTTCACTTAGCATGCTACCCTCTAGTTCCATCCATGTGACAACAAAATACATGTTTTCATCTTGCAGCTGGGTAGTAAACCATTCTGTATATGTACCACAATTTCTTTACTCATGTATTCTTGACTACTTGGGTTGTTTCCAGATCTTGGCTGTTTTGATAGTGCTGCCATGAACACAGGAGTGCATATATCTTTTCAAAACAGTGGCTTTGGGACCTTGGAACAGATGTCAAGATGTAGAATTAATAGCTTGTATGGGAGTTCAATTATTTTTTACTTTTGAGTCACACCTGGTGATGCTCAGGGTTGCTCCTTGCTCTGCACTCAGGTATTACTCCTGGTGGTGCTTGGGGGACTATATGGGATGCTGGGGGATGGAACCTGGGTCGAACGCGTGCAAAGTAAATGTCCTACCTACTATATTAGTCACGGTCCTCCCGTTGTTCATCGATTTGCTCAAGCGGGCCCAGTAACATCTCCATCATGAGACTTGTTGTTACTGTGTTTGGCATATACATGGGTAGCTTGCCAGGCTCTGCCGTGCAGGCGAGATACTCTCGGTAGCTTGCCGGGCTCTCCGAGAGGGGCGGAGGAATTGAACTCGGGTCGGCCTATACTATTCTTAATTATTTGAGAAGCCTTCATACTATTTTCCATAGAGGTGAACCAAATTGCATAAGGGTTCCCTTTTCATACATCCACAGGCATGATTTTTATAATCCAAAGAAAAATACTACGGGAAAACTTCAATGGTTTTATTATAACTCTGTTTAAATATAAAATTAAATGATGTGATTTGCCATTGTGCTAAGAACTGTTTTGACTAGATACAAGAAGGCAAAAATCTCAGAACCGTGTGTCATATTGTGTGATGGTCTACAGGCTGCGCACCAATCACAGAACAGAATATTAAAGCATCATTTATATCCTCTAAAGTAGTGTTTCCCAAACTGAGCCATTAACACAGACTCTGGTGGGGGAAGGCTACCTACCCCCTGGGGGTAGGGGTAATCTCTGGAGGGCACATTGCTTTTAAAAAAGGTAGATTTCCAGAAGAGTACCAAGTGATTTTTATTCCTGAAAAGAGAGCAGAAGGTCAGTAAGTTTGAGAACCTCTGCCCTAAAATACCATCTAAGATCCTGCAATGGTCCTTACATCCAAATTATGTTGATCCACCAAGATTTTATTCTGTGTGAATGCACAATCTTATATATTCTCACCTTTATGTACTAAGGATGGATTACTTCTCAAGCGAGCCCAGTAACATTGTGAGACTTGTGGATTACTTCTATTGAGTTATAATGTCTTTTTAAAATTTGTTTATATACTTTCAAATTTCTTGTCAATCACAGAGATTCTTTTTTTTTTTCTTTATTTTATTTTATTTTTTTTAAAGTTGTAGATTTACAATTTTTTGTGCTTTGGTTTCAATTATACAATGATCAGATACCCATCCCTCCACCAGTGCCCATTTTCCACCACCATGGATAATATCCCTCCCACCCCCATCCCCCCATCCCCCCGTCTCTGTGGCAGGGCAATCCCCTGTGTTCTCTCTCTCCTTTTGAGTGTTGTGGTCTGCAAAAGAGGCATTGAGTGGCAAACATGTTCAGTCCATAGTCTACTTTCGACATGCATCTCCCCTCCTGGGAGGATCCTCCAAACATCCTTTATTTGGTGCTCCCTTCTCTATCTGGATAGCCCTTTCCTCTAGGATACCCGGCTGGCCTCTAAGTTATGGAGTAATCCTCCTGGTGCTGATCTCAGCTATTCTTGGGTATTAATCTCATACTTTGTTACTTTATATCCCCCAGATGAATGCAATCTTTCTATGTCTATCCCTCTCTTTCTGACTCATTTCGCTTAGCATGATACTTTCCATATTGTACCACTTGTATGTAAATTTCATGACTTCATCTTTTCTAAGAGCTACATAGTACTCCATTGTGTAGATGTACCAAAGTTTCTTTAACCAGTCATCTGTTCTTGGGCATTCAGGTTTCTTCCAGTTTCTGGCTATTGTAAAGAGGGCTGCAATGAACAAACAAGTGCAGATGTCACTTCGACTATACATTTTTGCCTCTCTGGGATATATTCCCAGGAGTGGTATTGCTGGGTCAAATGGGAGCTCAATTTCTAATTTTTTGAGAATCGTCCATACTGTTTTCCAGAAGGGCTGAACCAGTGGACATTCCCACCAACAGTGAAGGAGTGTCCCTTTCTCGCCACATCCACGCCAGCATCGGTTGCTTTTGTTCTTTTGAATGTGGGCCAGTCTCTGAGGTGTGAGATGGTATCTCATTGTGGTTTTGATCTGCATCTCCCTGATGATTAATGATGTAGAGCATTTTCTCATGTGCTTTTTTGCCATTCGGATTTCTTCTTTGAGAAAGTTTCTGTTCATTTCATTGCCCCATTTTTGGATGGGGTTGGATGTTTTCTTCTTGTGGAGTTTAACCAGTATTTTGTATATCCTGGATATCAACCCCTTGTCAGATGTGTATTCGGTGAATATCCTTTCCCATTCTGTAGACTCTTTGTACTTTGGTCACTGTTTCTTTGGAGGTGCAGAAGCTTCTTAGTTTAAGATAGTCCCATTTATCTATCTCAATCACAGAGATTCTTAACCAGTGTTCTGCCTTAAGGTTTGTTTACAAATGTGCTGTTATCATCATCATCAAACTTCAGAATGGATATTGTTTTGAAACTCTATAATTTTTTTCTTGATTTCACTGGTATTCTGAACTGCTTATGTCATTCCTTAAAATTTTAAACATTGTTCATTTAACTCTATCATCAGTCTAGCTTATATCTAGACTAAGGTATCGGTTTTGAAAAAGTTACTATTTGCTTTGGTTTGGGTATAAATTAACCCTTTAACTACCTACGCCCCCCCCCCCCACACACACACATACACACATATGCACAGAATCTCCCTTCAATTCTTTTATTCCTAGGTTTTGATTCTCTCAGTAAATATGCTCATAAATATATAAACTACATTATTATCACTGCATTCTTTTGCTCCTGAAAGTGTGATCCAGTCTGGTACATCGACAGGGCTTTACCTTTAATTCAGGTGAGGTACACTCACATTTGAGAGATATGAAAACTCACTGGAATATGGTATAGCACAATGCTATACTAGTATTGGGGATAAATGATTAACAAAATAAATATGGTTCAGCCTTCATGAAACTTATTAATAACTTTAACATTAATGTAAGCACTAGTATTTCTGATTTCATACTTATGATTTGCCTAATAGTAATCACAATCATGTAATACTGGCTTAAAAGTAAGCATCAAAAACAAGGGTTATCAGTAGAGGGCAGAATTCTTATCAGTGGAATTCAGTTACTAGGCAATTAGCACGTATTTTGTTGCCAATATTTTTTATTTAAAATATCACTTGAAAACCCAAACAGAATACCAGTGTATAATCTGAGTATCAAATTAAAAAATTTCATTGCAACAATGTTTTGTAAGAGCATAAATGTGTGTGTGTGTGTGTATATATATATATATATATATGCATATATATATATATATTCATATATATTCTAGAGGTACAATGTTACCATACCATGTCTGTCACCAAAATACCAATATCTCATCATCACAGTCCTTTGGACCATTTTGGTCTACTTATCCACCCACTGCTTGGTAATCTTAATTCTGTGGTAAGAGTCAAAGGGTTTATATTTATTAGAAAGCCAGTTTTATAGCTTTCTTATATATATATGTATATATATAATCACATATTAGTAATATCTTTCAGTTTCAGTCTTTCTCCTCTTGATTTTTGTTTTGGGACCACTCACAGCATACACTCAGGGAGCCACTCCTGGCAATGTTTGGGAGACCCTGCAATGCCAGGAACTGAACTCTAGGCACCTCATGCAAAGCTTTGAGTCATCTCCCCAGCCCATCTTTTTCATTCTGACTTATTCCATTTAGCATATCCCCTCCAGTTCCATCCATGTTATAATAAAAGACAATATTTCATCTTTTCCCATAGTTGAGTAGTATTCCATTGTGTGTGCATAGATAGATAGATAGATAGGTAGGTAGATGGTAGATGATAGATAGATAGATAGATAGATAGATAGATAGATAGATAGACAAACAGATAGATATCACATCCTCCTCTACTGGGTATATGGGTTGTTTTCAGATCCTGGCTACTACAAACAAAAGAATATACAGGTGTGCATATGTCTTTTTAAATTCATGTTTTGATTTCTTTGGACAAACACAAGTAAAACTAGTGACTCAGATATAAATTCTATTTTTGTTTTTGAGAAATCTCTATGCTATTTTCCATAGTGACTAAACCAATTTATACGCTCACCAGCAGTAATTAAGGGTTCTTTTTCCTCCACATCCGCTCTGGCGTTTTATGTAACAGTGATCTCTCAATTTTAGTTGATAACTCACATGAGGGGCACTTTTTTATGTGTTTATTAGCCATCTGTATGTTAATTTTTTTTAAAGAAATGTCTGCTACCCTCTTTTCTCCATCTTTGATGGAATTATTTTCTGTTGTTGAGTTTCAAGAGTTTATTATACTCCTTAATATTAGCCCATTGATGGATATATAGTGTACTATTACTTTCTCCTATTCATTTAATACCACTGAATGTTGAAGGAAAAAAACAAAAGTCACCTGTCACAGAAACAATATTAAGTAATCTTCTCATGGTCTGAGGGCTGATGTCACTGAACCAGTCCTCTGTAACCAGTAGTTTTGTAAGATCAAAGGACATCTGCCGAGTAATTGTTCGCTGCATCTGCCTTCTTCGGTAAGTATCCTGAAACAGTGCATTATCAGTGAGAATAACCCCATACTTTGAATATGAGAACTAAAAGCTTTTGAGGAGATAGTATACATTTATGACATGAACTAGAAAATCCAAAATTTTACCCAAAGAGGAGGATTATACAGCAATAAAAAGAATTCTCACTTTTCTTAAGGCAAAATCTTTATATTGACTAATATCAGCAGCAATTGCATCAAATGCTAAAGTTTAACTTCAGGTACATTTGAATGTAGACTGCACAGTCAAATAAAACTCTTTGTGTGTCAAAATTATAAGCAAGCAAAACTGTGTAAAAACCTATATAGCTCAGTATTTATAGGAATCCTGGAACAAGAAAGCAAGTAATTCTCTTGTCTAATTGTAAGAATTTGGTATACTGACTTTTAAGATCAAGATTTTAAAACAGGACAACTACCTAAAATGGCTCAACTGGGGCTGGAGTGATGGCACAGTGGGTAGGGTGTTTGCCTCGCACACGGCTGACCCGGGTTTGATCTCCAGCATCCCATATGGTCCCCCGAGCACCACCAGCAGTAATTCCTGAGTGCATGAGCCAGGAGTAACCCTATGCATTGCCGGGTGTGATCCAAAAAAACAAAACAAAACAAAAATGGCTCAACTTTCCCAACAATCCTCTGGGAGAAATGCAGAAATACAAAGTGGTTGGAAAGTGCCCAGAATGGTTCTATAAGTAGTAAAAAGAGAGCACACACCCCATGAGCACTGGAGAAGAAGGAAGGTGGATCAGAGTTTTCTTATTCTACAAACCTCATCCTCCCTTAGAACAAAGGGCACCTGAAATGAATGGACAGGTTCTAGACCCTTTTTCCTTGAATGATTTCATTCAGGGGGTTTTAATAGTCTCAAGAGTGACAGAGGTCTTAATTCATCAAGAGTCTGGAGAGACATTTGGGTTCCAAAAGACTGGGAAAGGAAAGGGACTCTGATACAATTTAGCTAGATTTCAGTCTAAGTTTCAGATATCCCTAGCAGCAGGCACAAAGGCAATCCAATGATAAGTTACTTGATGATAAATCTGCTATCTCTACCAAAGAATAAAGGGCACCACCTTAGTTAGCTTCATTTCAATTTTAGCAATAAAAACATGTTTCCAAACAAATGGCCTCTTACCCGTCTATTGAGGGCTGTCTTGCTACCGAGTTTTGTCATCTCCCCAAGGCTGATTTGTGAAACTCGTCTGTCTGCATCTTCCTGGATACCTTAAGGAATTTATCAAGAGAGCACTATTTGTACTAAAGTTCTATGGTTATATTTAAAGTGCCAATAATATTTTTACGGCAAAAGAAGATTCACTATAAAAAAAAACCTACAAAACTACTTCAAAAGCGAACAAAATGGAAGAACTTAATCTATACCTGCAGTATCTGTGCATGGAATGTCCCCATTTGTTGTTGAAGTTACAAGAAATTTTCTTGCATTACTTAGTCCACGACTGTTAAGAAAAACAGGCAAGTGAACTATATTGCGCATATAATCATGTCCATTAATATTTGAGTCACGAAGCACACTATTGAGGTTCTGGTTAATTGCCTTTATAATGATATGTGGGTCACTTGCAAAGATGGCAATGAATGGGCCTTTGGAAAACAGAATTCGAACCTGTGGTGGAAAAAAATGCACATATGAAGTGTAAATTACGCAGAGTAATAAGACATGTCTTCAAATTCTGTATTATCCTTTGTTAACTATTTTTTAAATACTATTTCCTTCTCATCAAAATATTATTCTATGAAACAACAAATTTTATTAAGTCTCACTCTGAATTTTTCATTACATACTGTTTCTAATATATATTTTAAGGAGTCACTACTGTGCACACACGCTAACCAAAGAAGCCCTTAATTTCTGTAACTTTGCTATGTTACTCCCTGATTCCAACCATAATCATTTTCAAAGAAAAGCTGGAAGTTCATTACACAATGAACTTCAGAACTTCAGAAACAGCCTATAATTATTTTCTTCATACTGCCATTAACCAAAAACTGCTTAACTTGGTGATGAAACATTTGCTCAGTTCCTCCATATACTGGTTTTAATATTTTTAAAAATTCAGCAGAGAAGCAAGTACTATTAGAATTTCATTAGAGTTATATAGTTTCATTTTTAAAAATTGTGTGTGGGCCACCAATAGTGGTGCATGGCCCTGTGGACCACCAGGGTCACAACTGAAAGCCTGAGGAACAACTGGGTGCTAGGGATTAAATCAAGGGTTTCAAAGACACAAGGCATGTGCTCTACCACCTGAGCCACATCCCCAGCCCCCATCTGAGCTATTCTTAAAAGTCATTCCTCTCAGCTGCAACAAATGTCAACATTGCCAGATAGTTACAACATACAGTGTCCAACATCTGAAGAACTTTGTCTTGCTCACAGGCATCTAGCCCATCGATGATAACCACCAGTCGTGTCTGATTCTGAGTGAAGCTATCAATGGTTTTTGCCATTCTGGCCATCAATTCCACTTCACACTTAAGAACCTGTGTCAAAGACAGGACAGAAAGAACCACAGATATGAGAAAATTAAACATAATCCTCACAGGAAGTCCTTTATTAAGAAGAAAAAAAATACAGAGCCTTCACTGTCATTTTGGTTCCACTTAAAACTTAAGTGAAGTCTACACAATGAACTAAGTGATTTCACATGCAAAGCAAGCACCTAACCTGCTATACTATCTTTCTGGCCCTGTCATATCTATTTTTTAAAATATTTTTTAAAATAAAGTTGTTCACAATCATTTATTACATTCAATATTACAAACCCACCAATTCCACCACCATTGCACCTTCTCATCACAAATATTTCCAATTTTCCCAATCACCACCAAGCCTAACCCAATAGCAGGCCCTAACTAATCTATTTTATACTGCTTGTTATAAATAACTCACTAGGGGGCTGGAGCAATAGCACAGCGGGTGGGCCCTTTGCCTTGCATGCGGCCAACCCGAGTTCAATTCCCAGCATCCCATATAGTCCCCTGAACACCACCAGGGGTAATTCTGAGTGTAGATACAGGAGTAACCCCTGTGCATCACTGGGTGTGACCCAAAAAAGCAAAAATAAATAAATAAATAACTCGCCAAAAATGATCAAAAAAGATTTTCTAAGCAGAAAGTGTGTGAAGATTGTTGTATCTCACCCCGAAGCCATTAAGTCCTTGTATAAGAGATTACTAACATGCTGTTAGAGGTTAACCTTGTGTGTTAACATTTTCTTAATCAAGACTGATTGCATTCTACTTTACATCCCATCCAATGTGTACTCCTGGTATATCAGCAGTGTAGACTTTGAGATGTCATTCTACGAATTCTAAAATTTTTGTCATATCTATTTTAAAAGGACAAAATGAGTTGAGTAACTTACTAGCTAAGATCACATACCCCAAAGTCAAAAAGATCAAAACCTCAAGACTTTGATGTGAATGCACACAAAAAAAGATCTAAATACCAAATTACAGATTACACCTTGATCAAAGGAAAGCTTAGAAAGATTGTATAAAGTCCCTTTAGTACTGAGTGTATGACCCAGCTTATTCTACTGGTTTCTAGAGGAATACGTATCATCAGGTAGTAATGACGACTATAGCACGGTAACTCCTTTGAGAGAAAGAATTAAGCCTCGGAGGACCAAAAGTACCAGGGATAGAATCCAGGACTCCTACATGCAAAGCGTGTATTCAGCCCATTGAGCTATCTGTCTGGCTCAGTTAATTTCTTTTTCTAAGTTTATTTTTAAAAAAAAAATGCTATAACCTTTTTGTCTTCAAAATTTAAATTTACACATGAAAAATATGGAGTAAAGCTTAAAGATGCAGTTTCACACTATTTAGAGAGTGTGACAACCCTCCCAGCCCTCCCCTCCGACCAGACCAAGCCAAAACGATCATGACATAGTAGCATATTTACATTATAACTGCTTACTAAATAACTTACTTTCATGAATCCTTCACTTTTCAATTTGTGCAGTTTGGAAGCAGCATTATGAAGACGCTTTCTTTGTGAATTTAGGAGAGAGTCCAGCACCTGCCACCATGTACGACAGTTTAATATAAAAGCCAACCCCACTATTGAGGCAATTGATATGAGGACAGCATTCACTGTCATATGTTTGGGGTCAACTCTGAATATAGCCAGAAGAGTAATACCAGCAATAATGCAGCCCAAGATGAAAAGAAAGATGACAAAAGATGGGAGACAACATGTTTTCTTCCACTTCTTTTTACCTGTAACATAAGAAATAACTTAAACAATTATATGTGAAATGTCTAGACAATCCTAATCATTACAGTCACAGCATAGAACAGATCTAATATTCCTATTTTTGCAGAAATACACTAACTATCCCATCACCAACCACACACAAAGTAGAAGTCCTACCCTGTGTATCTTCAGTCTTGAATACTCGAAACAGTCTAGTTGCCAAAAACCCAAACTCTCTTTCACAAGCATCTGAGAGAGTTGCAATCATTTCAGCCATTGATGTTTCTCCACCAACACTGGACAGCCTATTATAATCTGTAAACAAAAACCTTGGAGAAGGGTAAAATAAACCATTAGTCTGATAACTAAAGAAGCGAATAACTTCAATATTTATCACCGCTGCATCATTTCCCTGTGTCTTTTAAAAATAACGTTTTTCAAAAGCCCCAAAGCAACAGCAATTGGTCCTTTGTAGGAAGCTTATTACAGCAGGAGGAATGCTGTGGGAATTAGTTGGGGTCATGGGGCCCAGGAGGGTTGGACACTGGTGGTGGAGGGAAGTGAACAATGATGGAAGGTATGGGTTTGGAATGTTTTGCGCATGACCCTTAACATCAACAGTACTGTAAATCACATTGCATAAAATTAATTTTCAAAAATTATTTTCTTTTAAAATTTCAGACAGAAAAATAATTTATTAGGTATCTTTTACTTCTAGCTCCTTATATACATACTATTTGTAGGAAAAGAGAGCAATGTAAATTAAATATAGAGCCTGGGAATGTAACTCAGAGGTTGAGTTCATGCCTTTCATGCATGAAGCCCTGGCATCAATCCCTGTAACCATAAAACAGGAAAGCAGAACAAAAAGCACATTAACTTCCCACCTTTGCTCATCCTGTGCCGTAACCAAAAGAAATGAAAGAGTTCAATGGAGCAGAGTAAAATGAAGACATTCTGATTAAAGGTGGCAGGGTAAAAAAGTTATGAGAACAATTTACTAAAGAACTCATACACCTCAATAGGTCTCATGATACAGTGATGAAAGATGGTTCCTGCTGGTTTCCCTCTGCCCCCTCCCTCCATACGACAAAGCCAAAAGAGCTGCAGAAGGGAAGTGTAGAAGAATAGATGAAAACACTGAGAAAGTATTTTGAATTAAAAATTAAATGCTTTTTATGATGAGGGAAATATGGTGAGGGCTGGAGTGCATGTTTTGTACATGAGATTTCCAAGTTCAAACCTTGGCACAACATGATCCCTAAGTACCACCAGTAATAGTCCCCAAGTACTGTGCTTGGAATAGTACCTGAACACAGCAGGTGTGGTGCACCTACTTGCAAAAAAAAGAAAAAAAATTAATGCTATTTAAAAACACAAAATTTGGAATATCTTATAGATAGCTTACACATTGACTAGGGATTTAGAAATAGACTTTAAGGTATTATTAACAGATGTTCTTTGGAACCACTGAACTATTTGTATTCTTATTCCCTGACCAAATATTATTTCTGCATTAACTATTTTCTTCCCTTCCATCCCCAAACTAAACTCATCTCAATTCAGCAGAAAACTATTGCTTTCAAAATAAAATCTAGGACTGCATTGCATTATATAGTCTTGATTTAGGCTATTTTAAATGCCTTTTTCGTTGTTGTTGTACGAATGAACCAAAGCCTCAAACATACGAGACATGCATCTATCACTGAGCACAGTCAGAGTCCACTCTAATTCTAAAGGAAAATTAATGCATATAGTTCAACCTCATTAATTTATGATGCTTTTCTTGTTTCCTGTAAAAATATCTCCCTCTGCACAGGAACCTGGGCAGGGGGCCTTGGGCACTTGATGTTGAGGAGGAAACTGTGCACCAAGACCATAAATATCTACACTATTATAAAGACACTACCTTAAACAGAACATAATTAATATTTTTGGCTTTTTGGGTCATACCCAGTGATGCTCGGGGCAGTGCTCGGGGGATCATACAAAATACTGGGGATCAAACTGGGGTCCCAACTCACTGTACTATTGCTCTGACCCAATAAATTTATTTATCTAATTTTTTTGCTTTTTGGGTCACACCCGGTGATGCTCAGGGATTACTCCTGGCTCTGCACTCAGAAATTACTCCTGGCGATGCTTGGGGGACCATATGGGACCATATGAGATATGGGAATGAAACCCTGGTCAGCCACATGAAAGGCAAATGCCCTATCTGCTGTACTATTGCTCCAGCCCCTGGCTCAATAAATTTAATTATAAAATTTTTTTTTTTTGCTTTTTGGGTCACACCTGGCATTACATGGGGGTTACTCCTGGTTCATGCACTCAGGAATTACTCCTGGCGGTGCTCAGGGGACCATATGGGATGCTGGGAATTGAACCTGAGTTGGCTACGTGCAAGGCAAATGCCCTACCTGCTATGCTATTGCTCCAACCCCAATTTATAAATTTTTTTAAATCTTCTGGTGCTGCTTTTGAGCCTTCATTTAAAATCCTTTCCTTAATACTAATTTTAGGGTTTTTTTTTTTTTTGATCACATGCAGAGGTGCTCCGGGCTTCCTCTGAGTTCAAGGAACACTCCTGGCAAGGCTGGAAGAGACCATGTGAGATGCCCAGGATTGAACCTGGGTCAGTCACGAGCAAATCCCCTGTTCTAGTGCTCTGGGTCCAGTACTAATTCTATAGGCTTATAATGTAAGTTTTTATCTATTTTCTCTCATATTCATAAATTTGATGTTTTATCTGATTTATATATTTTCATTTAAAAATTTATATATTTTCTTATAATTTAAAATCTTTTAGAACATACTTATTTGCCAATTGCATTTAATTACTTTTGCTGGGCTGGAGCGATAGCACAGCGGTAGGGCTTTTGCCTTACAAGCGGCCAATATGGTCGACCCGAGTTCAATTCCTCCGCCCCTCTCGGAGAGTCCAGCAAGCTACCGAGAGTATTCGATATGCCAAACACAGTAACAACAAAGTCTCCAATGGAGACGTTACTGGGCCCGCTCGAGCAAATCGACGATCAACGGGAGGGCCTTTACCTTTACCTTTACCTTTAGTTTTCTAATTGCTTTTTTCAATTTTACTTTTCCCTGGAGCTCTCTACCTTACCTTTATTCCTTAATATGCATGATTTTAGTTTTTGTTTTGTTTTATTTTTTTGCAGTAAAACAGATTTTATTATTTGGAGGGTTTTTGAAGGTATGGAGGAGGAAAAAGAAAGAAAGAGAGAGAGAGAATATCACACTCAAGAGAGAACATGGGCTTCTCCAAGGGCAGAAAGAGCCTTAGTTTTTAAATTTCACTTTTGTCCCTACAATACCTTCAGGGTTAGGGTCTTATTCACACAGTGTCCCAACCCTACACCTTTCACTGTCTCAGGGTCCACCTCCACTGAGTTTCCCCCATACCCTGGCCCCACCTCACCTCCACGGTAAACTAGTTCTGTTGACCAGTTCTCAACTTATATTTTAATCTTTCCATAACTGTTTTCTCATATATCACCTTATTATTTATTAGTAACTTAACTGGCAACCAAATAAATAGGCAACAAATAATTTCCAAAGATGGCAAAAGTACAGATTGGAGTTAATAAGGTTACATGACAATGTAAAAAGGTGCCAGGGCTTTATCCTCTACAATGCTTTTCTCACAAGAGGGAGAAAAGATTTATGGTAAATAAAATTTAGTAAGTGAAAGTTAAATATTTCTCTATGGAAAAGAGTCTGTGAGTGCATAGGAAGGAGATATAATAAGTGTTTTTTTCAAAATGTACTTGAACAGAGCATATTTGTTTTGTTTTGTTTTGTTTTGCTTTGATTTGGGGGTCACAATTGATGATGCTCAGGGTTTATTCCTGGCTCTGCACTCAGGAATTACTACTGGCAGTGCTCAGGGGACCATATGGGATGTTGGAGATCAAACCCTGGGCAGCCACATGCAAGGCAAGTGGCCTACCTGCTGTACTTTCTCTCCAGTGCCAGAACAAGGGATTTTTTTTCTCATGTGAAAAGTTTGAGACAGATATTTACTGTAAATACACTGAGAAATAATGCATTATAAACTTTATATTTGTTTCATCTTATTAACAGTTACTTCTGTCAAAAGGACCAACTCACCTCACAGGTAAAGCTTTAGTGGTTTGTTCTGGCAATTCAGGAGGATTCACAAACATCAACTTAAGGAGGAGTTCCAAATATCCAATATGTCTTGCCAATCTGGTACTAAGGACCCAAGCCCAATTCCAACTCTCTCCTTCTCTTCGTCCACCAAAGTAAATGACAACTGGAATGCAAAGTTTTAAATGAAATCGCAGAAAACAATCATTAGTCAAGGAATCTCCTGAGTTTCTCTAAGAAGTCAAAAGATCAAAGAACGACAGCTGTGCCTCCAAACCTTCTATGACCCCCTGCTATTTCCTAACTATTTCTCAAACTCATTAATTTCTCCAAACATGCATAAGTTCACGCAAAATGGAATTAAGTGGTTTAACTATGGCAGAAGAAACATAAAGTATTACATAGGAAACACAAAGATACTGCCTTAAAACAAATGTCTCACTTGGTTCAGATTCAAATACAAAACACTTTGGGTTTGTCACTATTTCCAACTACTGAAGTTTACCTTTTCCTCCAGTAGTAAATATATTTTCTTTCTAATGACTGAAAATATCCTCCCATGAAATGGGGTTACAATCTATTCTGTCTTTAGGTAAAAATTGTTTATAGATAAAAAAAACTTTAGATAAAAACTATACTCATGATCAAAATGCTCAAGAGCATGACAGTTATGAATTTAGAGACATTTTCAAGAAAGATTTAAATAAAAATAATTAACATAAAAATGGAAAACATAATATAGTTCTGCTTTAGTATTACAGTATCAACAAATAGTCAACTAGCATTTTTTTAAAGTTTAGGTCAGGTTGTATATAATCTTTTCAGATTACTGTACAAAAAAAGCCCTATTCTAATCTAGTGATGAAAATAATTTACAGGTTCTAAGAGAGAGCTAATCTCTTCTGTTTTGTTTTGTTTTGGGGACACACTTGGAGGTGCTCAGAGCTTATTCTTGACTTTGAGCTTACTCCTGACTCTGATCCCTCACTCCTGGCAAGTTCTGGGGTACATATGGGATGCTGGGAATCAATCTTGGGCCAGCCACATGCAAGTCAAATGCCCTATCCACTTTACTACCATTCCAGCCCCAAGAGAGAATGTTTCAAGTAAACAATAAGTCTTGACATTTTTTTCTATTTTCAAACAGATAAAAAAAGGACTCACTGAAAAAGATGTATAAGAGAGCCAAGCAGCTCAATGACACTGCCACTCCAAGATTTAGGTCAATTGTAAAAGCAAACAATAATCCCATCCCTCCACAAAGCAGCAGGGTCAGAAATACTATCAGCCATGAAAACTGAAAAAGAGGTTCAATCTGTTGTCCTGCAAACGTCTTCATTTCATCTGAAAAATAAATATATCGCTGTGAATAAAACTCACCCCTCTATTAGGAAATTTAACTTTTAACTCAATTTGAAAATTTCAGTTTCAATACAAACATTTACTGAGGACTTACTAACTCCTCAGAAAGAAGGCTGCTTATTCACTGTAACCAGTGTTCTCTTGAGAAAAAAAATCTCATTCCTTAGGAATACTGGTGAGTCCTATGCATTCTCCTACTTTAATTTGAGGATGTACAATTTTTTTCATGTGTTTTTATATGTCACGATGCTGTCAACAGCTAATTTTTGCAGTTTGCATTATACAGGCACCTAGCTAGTCTTTCCATGCATGAAACTAAAAATTGTTATTCTGCCGAGTTTTCAAATTATGAATCACAACCATTCCTTTCTGATCACTACACATTCTCTTCTCCTTATAATCTACACTTAATGGTAGACACTAAGCTCAAATGAGCCTTAAACAAGAGTCTTTCTGAAAGCTTGGTAAAAAATTTATGGGCAAAACCAAAATGTCTTTGAAGAAAGATTAAGGTTTTGTCAAGACAAAGATGCATGTGTTGGGTGCTAGGTTGAGAGCCAATTTACTAGAAAGTTCCTAATAGTAGTAGCAACTCAGGAAAATTTTCTTGTCTGTTCTTGAAAGAGCATTGGTTTTCTGAGACTACGAGAACACACAAATAGTTCTGGTGGGTATGGTCAAGCAAACTAACAAGTTTGTGAAGGATCCTGTATAAAATAATTACAAGTAACACAGAATATCTGCTACCATTAGGTTTTGAGTATAACAATTAATTTTTTTTGGCTTTTTGGGTCACATCCAGCATTGCACAGGGGTTACTCCTGGCTCATGCACTCAGGAATTACTTCTGGCGGTGCTCGGGGGACCATATGGGATGCTGGGAATTGAACCCAGGCCGGCCGTGTGCAAGCAAACGTCCTTCCCACTGTGCTATCGCTCCAGCCACTAAGACAATTAATTTTAATGAATTCAAATGACGATCTCAACAATTAGAGGGGATTAAAATCCTAATAAACTTGATTTAGTTGGTAGCATAATTTACCTATATAAAATTATACAAATCTAAAACCTTAAGACTACATATAAACTATACCCCAGGGGGAGGAGGGGAGACAAAGAAAACCACGTTGTATTCATATGTGTTTCAAAGACACACATTACCTTCTAATTTCTTGAGTAAGAAAGATTTCCCACTTCCCCACTGTGCATACAGCCCCACACAGATGGGTGGCTGCATGGTAGGTTCACTAAGAATATCTGCCAGGGCACTGCTATATAAGTCATAACCAAGCATATCACCATCTGTTTCCGTAGGAGATAAGTGTCCTGTAAATACAAGAATATCACATCTTATATAAACAAAATAACATCAACACTACAAAATTGATTATAATCATCAATAATCATTTATCAAGTGTTTATTTACTAAAGAAACAAATGTACTTTACATTGTTTGACTTGTAAACAAAGATCAAGATTCTTCAATTAATATCATACTTCTTTTCACAAAACTTAAGAAAGTAAGATTTTTTTCATTATGTACAGCAAAGAAAAAGTATGCTGCCAAACTGTGACCAGTGCTTTCCTATCCATCTATGATAAAACACATTTCCACTTTTAGATGTATCAAGTGTAGAACAACGTGTGTATTTTAAAATCAGTAAAATATGGTAATAAAAACCAAATTTGCATATAGATAATTTAAAAAATTTGTATAATAGCTATATAAAAAAGTTATAAAATGTTACTGAAGAAAATGATGTATGATCAGAGAAAAAAAGACATTCAGTGATTCCATATTTAAAGATAATCTTCCCAAATCAATCACCTTAGGGAAATTCCACTAAAAATTTATAAGAATTTTTTTTTTTCTTTTTGGGTCACACCCAGCAATGCTCAGGGGTTACTCCTGGCTTTGCACTCAGGAATTACTCCTGGCAGTGCTCAGGGGACCATATGGGATGCCTGGGATCGAACCCAGTTCAGCCACATGCAAGGCAAACGCCCTACCTGCTGTGCTATAGTTCCCCATTTTTTTTTTATTTTTTAAAAATTTTTAATTTTTTATCTTTAATTTTGTGAAGCCTCAGTTTTGTTTTCTTTTTTTGTTTTGTTTTGTTTTTGTGCTTCGGTTTCAGTTATACAATGATCAAGTACCCATCCTCCCCCACCACGGGTCCTAGCATCCCTCCCCCCCCCCCCCCATTCCAACCTGCCGCTGTGGCAGGGTATTTCCCCTTGCTCTCTCTCTCTTCTTTTGGGTACTGTGTTTTGCAAGAGAGGCATTGAGTGGCAATCATGTTTGGTCTATAGACTACTTTTAGCATGTCTCTCCCACCCTGGGAGGGTCTTCACAACACCCTTTATTTGGTGCTCTCTTCTCTATCTGAGTCCAGCCCCATTTTTTAAAATTTTTTTTAAATCCATAGAATTTTTGAAAAAATCAAAATAAAAAGAACATGCAATAATAGATGAGGAAAATAAAAGTATGTTTGCATTTTTTTTTCTTTTTGGATCACACCTGGCTATGCACAGGGGTTACTCCTGGCCCTGTACTCAGGAATTACCCCGGTGGTGCTCAGGGGACCATGTGGGATGCTGGGAATTGAACCCGGGTCAGCCTCATGTAAGGCAAATGCCCTACCTGCTGTGCTATCACTCCAGTTTCTGTATTTTTTTTTAACAAAAGTATAGTTGGAGAAGCATCAAAAAATACTATAGAATTAGAATAAAAGAACATTGTAAAGCTTGTAAGGATTTTAGCATAAAGCACTTCAAATCAGTGGTAAAAGGATGAATTAATAAATGGTATTAAAAGAGTTTAGCCATTTAAAGAGTTAAATTCTACACCTTATACTATAACAAACAAGGTTTTTAAATATTTAAAAATCAGACATAAATATCAGCACCCCCCAAAAAGTTTTACAAAAAAAGTAATTCAAAGAAAAACTTTCAAAACTTTGAGTAGAAAGGTCTTTCCTTCTCTGTATAATAGTAAAGTCACAGGAAAATATAGATGAATAACCTACAAAATAAAGCGCAACTTTTACATTGGGAATGTGTCTCAGTCGTAGAGCATATATCTCTCATGTGTGAGGCTCTGAGTTCTGACTTGCACAGTAATAAAAATAAAAATAATAATTAAAAAAAAAAGAGAGAGAACACCTATTGAAAAAAATGTTGATTTTCTTGTGGTGCTCAGGGAATCATATGGGATGCCAGGGATTGAACCTGGGTCAGCCATGCGCAAAGCAAACACATCACCCCTGTACTATAGCTCCTGCCCCTGAAAAAATGTTTAACTTGGAGCTGGGGAAATAGTACAGTAGGTAGGGTGTATGCCTTGCAAATAGCCCACCTTGGGGAGTGATCCCTGAGGAGTGCAGAGTCAAGGATAAGCTCTGATCACTTCTGGATGTGGCCCAAAAATAAACAAAAAAATTTTAATTAAAAATAAATGTTTTATTTTTTTATATGAAGAATAAAAAACCATCATCATATACACAAAAAGAATGAGCTGAAGAAAGGACATAGAAGATAGAGATGAACAATATCCAGATATTCTAAATATAACAATACAAAATATTCTAATCAATTGTAAAGATACTTAAAATAAAATTTTAAAGAAAAAAGTGAGCAAAGGGCACAAAGGTAAATGGAAACATATAAAGCATTAAAAAAAAAATCTCAGTACCGAGAACAAAAGGGAATGGCCTGCCACAGAGGCAGGGTGGGATGGAGGGGATGGGGGGTGGGAGGGATACTGGGATCCGTGATGGTGGGAAATGGGCACTGGTGGAGGGATGGGTATTTGATCATTGAATAATTGAAACCCAAGCACAAAAATTTGTAAGTCTACAACTGTACCTCATGGTGTCTCACTAATAAAAATTAAAAAAAAAATCTCAGTACCTCATATAACAATATTACCTCAATAAAAACATATTAAAATAATAAACATCAATCTTAGTAATAACTTTTACAATTCAAATTAAAATTAACTTTTAAAAACTGATCTATTACCAAAATTAAGAGTTTGCAAGGTTGTGGGGCACTATCATTTATTAGCCAGAGTAAGGAGAAACTGTCACAGCCATTTTGGAACATTAAAACCTGTGAGTATTCATTGATTAGAAAATTCTACTTCAGGGTGTTTTTCATAAGAGAATAATTCTAAAAATAAGAGTTAATGGATATATGTACAAAGATGCTTACTGCAGCACTATTAATATCATAAAATGCAAATATTCATCAAGAACTGAAATTACTATGAAACCTATCAGCAAGGTTTTACATCAGTTAAAATATGATGGCAATTATTAAAATCTCTTATAATGTGGTATGTCCTAGTTTATTTATTTATTTATTTATTATTTTTTTCCGGTGCTAGAGGTGGAATCCAGGGCCTCACATATGCTATACCACTGAACTACCTCTCTAGTCTCGAATGATTCTTTTAGAAAGTTTTGAAAGGAAAGCAATTACAAATTAGGAGATAAGAAGCAATGGGGAAATTGCTCTTACTACTATACTTGTGTCTTCATTCTTGATTTTGGGGGGTGGTGTGGGGAACAGGTTTGGGCCACACTCAGGGGTGCTCAGGTCTTTTTTTTTAAATTTTTTTTATTAGTGAAACACCATGAGGTACAATTATAGACTTATAAATTTTTGTGCTTGGGTTTCAGTTATACAATGATCAAGTACCCATCCCTCCACCAGTGCCCATCCTCCCCCACCACGGGTCCTAGCATCCCTCCCCCCCCCCCCCACCCTGCCGCTGTGGTAATGGGAGAAAATGTACGGTGCTAGTGGATCAAACTCAGGTCAGGCAGATGTAAGACAATGCCGACCTGTTATACTAACTTCATGGGGGTCCCTTGAAATTCGTTTGTTGTTTTTTCAGGCCACACCCAACTGTGCTAAGGGCTTGCTCCTGGCTCTTCACTTTCTGGTGGTACTCAGGGTGCCAGGATCAAACCTGGGTCATCCATATCAAGGCAAGTGCCCTACCTATTGTATTAATGCTACCCCTACCCCATGCCTCCTGAAATTTTTAAGGGGGAGCCATACTCAATACTGCTGGGAGGTCCAGCAGCCAATCCTAGTAATATTTATCACAGCAGTGGGGCCTGACGATACAGTGCTCAAGGTCTAGCAATGCTGAGAGCCACCATGGCTGCCATGCCATGTTACGGATTGAACTCAGGGTCTTGCCAGGCATGTGCTCCATCCTGGAGTCATACTTCAGTACCTTTGTACTTGAAATCTGATAAATGTGCACCATTAAAAGAGTTGATTGATAACTCTGAATGTACTTAATATAGAATGATATAATACAGTGAGATGAACTTACATGAGAAAGTTGTATTTTCCCACAGTAAAATATAAGAACATTCTCCAGTTTTACATTCTTCAGTCAAGAAACGTTTTTCAAAAGCTTAGTCAGTAATAGAACCCACTACTTACTGGCTCCAAATATTTGAGTTAAAATACTTTTCTGATGGCTACAGTCAATGTTGTAGGGAGTCTCTCCTGCTTTGTTGGGCCTATAGAGTAACCTTCCATCTTTGGGATTTCTCAGTAGAAGTTCTGCCAGTTTCCGACTCCTCCCACGAATAGCAATATGTAAAGGAGTGTCTCCTTTCTGTAAAACAGGGGCAGGGAGTTTGAACTTCCATGTTTCACATATAGTACAGAGAGCATCAATTTTCATAATTTTATAAGATCTAAAATTAATTTTCATAGCATACATATAGACAGTTTGCTGTTTCTCTTCCCTGTAATTTTTCTAGTACCACTATTCTAAACCATCTCTTTTTGATTTATAATGTGATTTATAGTACTGTTTGTTACTGATGGTTTCCCATGTACACATTCCAACACCATACCCATCATCGTGTACTCCACCTCCTCCAAGGATCCCAGTTCCCCTTCCTCCTCCCTGTACCCCCTCCTCTCATGGATAAACTCACTTTGGTGGAGCAGTTCTTTCCTCAAGTTGCCATGTTCTCTATAACTCCTTTCTATAGTCCCTTACCAACCTTTTCTCAGCTAAAACTTCTCTATAGCCCTCTAATCTCCTTGCTGTTCTTTCCAGATCATGGATCCTCAAGTTTCATCAAGGTTAGAAAGAATCTGTTAAATAATTGTTTGGATGAGAATCACCTTCTTCAACTAATTCACATTTCGCAACTTTCTACTTCATTTATGTGGAAAGTTTCACAGTTTACAATGCTATCCCATCCAACATGCATAATCTCTTTTGCTCCTATGTCCCTTGTCAACAAAATACTGTTAGGCTGAACTCATAAACTTCTGTAGAGCCCATAAATTTCTGCAGTCTCCACTTTGATGTAATTCTGCTGTATTCATCCTTCTCAGCCACTAAGATCTCTACATTCCTCTCCTCTCACTTTTCCCTAAAATCAAACCAATTTTTTCCTGCATTAGAATATCAAATCACATTAGCTTTCATTCCCTGAACTAATGAAAGGTAATACTGTGAGAAAAAAAATCCCTTCAAAATTTGCAAATTCAGTTTTCCCATTTCTTCTTCACAAGCATCCCTCTTAAAGAAAAGAGGCCAAACATCTATTTTTTTATTTAAACCCTTAGTTCTCATCTATCCTGATACTTCTATAACTAAATGAAAATTACCTGCAATGATTTATTTGAGGCTGATATATCACAACCTTATCTTGATTTTGACTTTCCTTTTCTACCACAGGTCAGTTAATTCTTTTTCTAAATTCTCTTACTACAAAATATGTGGGCATTACTTACTGAAAAGGGCTGGAGCGATAGCACAGCGGGTAGGGCATTCGCCTTACAAGCGGCCAACATGGCCGACCCGAGTTCGATTCCTCCGCCCCTCTCGGAGAGCCCGGCAAGCTACCGAGAGTATTCGATATGCCAGACACAGTAACAACAAAGTCTCCAATGGAGACGTTACTGGGCCCGCTCGAGCAAATCGACGATCAACGGGAGGGCCTTTACCTTTACCTTTACCTTATTACATCTTAAATATTGTACAATTCATTTCTTTGGAGAAAATTAATTTGAAGTAGAGAAAGAACCCTGTTCAATGTTAAAACAAATTAAAACCAAGAATCAATTCTATGTGAAGCACTGAACAATTTAGAGTCAAATTTCTGTTATTTCTTTTTATTTTAGGGTCACACGCAGTGGTGCTCAGGGCATGCTCTTGGCTTTGAGCACTGAGATTACTCTTGATGTTGCTCAAGGATCTACATCAAGTGATCAAACTGGATCAACCACATGCACAGCAAGCACCCTATGTGCTATGCTATCTCCCCTGCCCCGAGTGTCAAATTTTATTAAATTAAAAAAAAAAATTTAAAAAAATTCCTGGAGCCGGAGTGATAGCACAGCAGGGAGGGCGTTTGCCTTGCATGCGGCTGACCCGGGTTCAATCCCCGACATCCCATATGGTCCCCCAGGCACCGCCAGGAGTAATTTCTGAGTGCAAAGCCAGGAGTAACCCCTGAGTATTGCTGGGTGTGACCCAAAAAGCAAAAAAAAAAAAAAAATTCCTTTTAAAATTTAGGATGAGAACATGACAACATGTGGCAGAACACTTCCTTTGCTATTTTGAACACTAAACGCCAGTCTTCATTGAAGTCTTCCTTCTCCAATCCTTTAGCTTTGTTTCTTCCTGTTTATCTACAACAAACTCTACAACTGTTGAACTTGAAAACATAATTTTATATGGTAGTCGGCAGCACCTCCCCAGAGCTGGCATGAGCAACAGGAGAAATTCTGAAGCTCCTTAAACAGAGTACTCAATCAGTGCCCATTCCTCGGCACGCTATGGAATAACCATATAGGTACAAACTCACAGCCTCAGTTCCCAAACAGATATTCCCAGCAAAAAAATCTGTTCCTCTGTAAAAACTAAATTGGGCCTTCATTGGGTCCACCAGAAATACAGATCACTTCAAGAATTTCCAGAAATATTTTTTCTGTACAGGCGTTTTACCTTGTCTATAGCAGAGACTTTAGCTCCTTTATCTAGCAGCAGCTCTACTACTTCAATATTTCTCATCTTAGTGGCCTTTATAAGTGGTGTTTCCCCATCCTGTGGGCATCAAGAAGAAAGTTGGTCAGATAAACAGCTTTACTCCTAAATGTTTAAAGTCATAAGAAGACACATGTGATGAATTCAAATATTTCACACTGGCACCAGTCTATATTTTCAAGATAACAGAGCTTTAAAACTAACAAGTGTTTTTCATTTCATAACTAATCATTTGCACCAGAACCATTTTATATCACTCCAGTGGGTATATAATATGCCAAGTTAATGATTAATCATTTCTGGCAAGAGTTACTTGTGTCTCACTGACCTTTGAGGCAGCAGCTTGAGAGACTAATTCCCTTCTAACCTCTCCCCACCAACTAACCCACCACCCTAAACAGTCACTAGTCAGGCAAGCTAGTGTCTAGGTTTTCAGAAATTTTTACAAACATCAATTCTCAATGTACACAAGCATTTGTATGAAAAAAGAAAATAATGTGATAATAGTATCCCTATAGAATTCTATAGTATCCTTCAAAAGGAATTATAACTGCTTTCAAAATGAAATTATGGGAAACAAGAAGAAATCATAATTCAATGCTGATTTAGGAAAGAGAGAAACCTGTTCAGAAATTCCACGTAAACATATGGGTCCAAAAGAAAAAAAAATTATTAAGAAGTCTCTTGCAAGTCAAAAGAGAAGATATTTTATTCCCTAGGGGACTGTATTTCCCTCACTGGTTTAGAAAGACACTGTTCCAGATCTCTAGCAGGTGAAATAAGATTTTTAGTAAGTAACTCTATTAGATTGCTTTACTCATTAAGAATTCCTAGGGCTAAGGATGTAACACATCTGGCATGTATGAAGTATAGGATTTGAAATTCAGGTCATACCAAAATTTTTTTCAAAAAAATACTGACACTACAGTCTAGAATTCCAAATATGTTTTTCTCCATGGAAAACTACTATACATAAGGTTAAATATAATCTAAAGTTTTACACAATTTTATAATTCTCAAATGAGTAAAATAGCCTAAAGAGACTGACTAGGGAAATTAATAACCATTTTAAAATTTCTTTTAAAAGGAAATTAGGAATTCCAAACAACAGAAAAGCACAGAAGAATTCTGGTGAAATGAACTGCCTTTATTTATAAATAGCTGATACTATATTTTCTGAAAATTTTTAACTAAAGTAAAAAAATGATAGACTGTACTTGCTATGAACATGTAACTCTCAAAAAACCAAAGTTACTCAATTTTATAATAAATATTACCAGTAAAAATCAGAATAATTCTAATAGCAAACAAAGCTGATTGAAAAAATTCACTAATACACAGGATTAGCTATTGATAAGAGACTAGAAATGTAATTTATACCTTTGTACATATTTCAGTGTCAGGATTGCACTGTAAGATATCTCTGACCATTGTTGCATTTCCTTTCTCAACTGCCCAATACAAGGCAGTTTTATTGTCCTGAAAAAAAAAATCAACAATTACTTATATAAGACACAATATTAAAAACTTGTGAATAGAAAGTTAACTTTTGTAGAGAGCATTGATAGATCTTACCAAAATGTACAATGATAGGAAAGATAGCACTATAGCACTGTCCTCCTGTTTATCGATTTGCTCAAGTAGGCACCAGTAACGTCTCCATTGTGAGACTTGTTACTGTTTTTGGTATATCAAATAAGCCACAGGGAGCTTTCCAGGCTCTTCCATGTGGGTGGGATACTCTCGGTAGCTTGCCAGGCTCTCTGAGAGGGATGGAGGAATCGAACCCAGATCGGCCACTTGCAAGGCAAATGTCCTACCTGCTGTGCTATCACTCCACTCCCTGCTTTATTTAACTTTGAATACCAAAACTTTTCCATCAGAATTCTCCTCAAAAGTATCTCTTAATTCCCTAACTTCCTTAGGCTGGCATTCAAATAACTCTGGCATTATTTTATTTTTCCACGGGCTGCCATGAATCAAACTTGTGGGGACTGCATGCAAGATGAACATCCTAGTCACTGTCCTCTCTTCCTGACCCCAGACCCAGCCTTCTTATTCTCTCCCTATCTATATTCAACCTATCTTATAAACTTAGCTCAAATTCTATCTTCTTTCAAAAGCCTTCCTTAGTGCTCTCCTTCTATAGATCAAGAATTTTGCACTTTAACCTTTTGCTAGGAAATCAATCAAAACCCAAAGTGGTATCACTTTTTATGTTTGTATAAAAAAAAGAGAAAAAAAACCATAGATAAAACCACAACTAAAAGCTTCCTACCATAAAACACATTTCTTACAGATAAGGCTCCCATGGTAACCTCCTCTGTAATATTCATTACTTTGGTATAAAAATGAACTTGGATATAGTCTAAAGACAAGAAAAGACTGAGCAGAAATAAAACTATTAAAAAGCAAATGAACTAACAAATTCAATTTTTTTAAATCTACAGCTCTTGAAATATTGGATAAATTCACTACCTTAGGCAAGTTTTTATCTAAAATTAATAACCTTATATCTCTATGAGCTATGATTTTCTTAAGCTAAGTTGACAGGCAATACATCAAGGAAAGTTAAGCAGAACAGGAGAAATAAAGATTTTTTTTTCTTAAAAAATAAAAAAGTGAAAATAGAGAAACAATATGTAGGCAACACTAATGAAAACAAGTTACACAACTCAAGGTACTACCAACTGCTCAGAAATCACGCACTTAGTACTGAAAATATTTATATAGTAGTGAGGGAGGCATATTTCAAACATACAAGTACCTTTCTTATTTACTTCTAAGTCTTATTTGAAATAATATAGAAATTTCATAAAAATGGCAGTAATACTTAACAAAATTTAAAATACATTTATTAAGTATGTCAGAATTCCCAAGTTATTTCCATAGCAAAGCTGGAAGAATGATTTTATGATTACCAGTCTCACCTACAACCAACTATAATAAAGAGAACAGAGACACTGTAATTATACATACCTGTCCCCTGATGTCTATATCAGCATATTTCTGAAGAAGTGCTCGAACAATTTCCACATGACCACCTCTGACAGCACCGATCAATACAGTATCCCCACTCTGAAGGGACAAAAATGTAAAACAATTTGATGATGAAAGCAAACACTGTTTCTTGAGGTTAACCATTTACTAATATGACAGAGATTTCTCTGAAAATTTATTATACAAAGTCTCTCTATTACGAAAAAATTAAATTAACTAATATTAATAAACTGATATGTCTTTATTAGCCCTAAGAGGACTTTAAGTATCAAAACATACTTAAAGACAGAGGACTTTACGTATCAAAAACACTTTAAAATTCCAGAACAAAGGTTTAGACTGCTAAGTCACCCAGAATAAGAAACATAACCTCCTTTTGAACATAACCTCCTATACAAATGTAAACAAATAATATGAAACTGTATATATCACCAAAACAGACAAACATCTGAAAATTACATGAAACAAATCCCTTGGAATACCATTATGTGAGGAAAGTCACAGAATCTAAGGCGGGAAGGTGTAAAGACTAGAGTTGTGGACGAATTTTATAACCACATCTAATTATGAGGGAAAGAAGGTTCCCAGACCAGCATCTGTAGTCTAGTCAATTGAATAAAATACAGGTCAGTAGACAAAAAATTTCTTAATACCCCAGTACAAGGAATAGATGAAGTTTATTATATACATAAGAACATCTCTGACCTGAAATTAAACTTATTAATCAACCTATCACTTTTAATTATCCTTCCCATTACTTCACATACAGAAAATGGCTGTTTTGGCAATAAACACAAATATTTTTTGGTCTGTGTGCAAAATAACAAATTACAGGAATTTGAACTGAGTAAATCCTTGAGTTGTAGCTCATCTCAGTCCCGACAGTCTATAAATCAAGATGCAGGTACATGAGAATTATTAAGTTTAGCACCACAGGGTAGCAACTTAACTACTACACTAAAACCAAAAATAAGCCCAAGGCAAACAAATTTTAATTGAAAATGCTAGCTTTAAGGTGAATCCAAACAAAGATTATAAATCTATAAACCGTTTAATAATCAAGTATTGCTGTAGGCACTGGGAAACAAGACAGGAAACACAAAATAAATACATACAAAAAATCATATAAATCTATATAAATTAGAATACAGTATTGTTATAGAAAGTATCTATCTATAATAAAATGGCTTTGGGTAGCTAGCTGTATTTAATACTTTAGCTGAGACAGAAATGATAAGGCGATAAGACACATAAAGTCCACATTCTAGAAAAGGTGTAACTTGTGCAAAGGCTCCTAATAAGCAAAATCCATGGATTCAAGAATAAAAGAAAAGTCATCTGGTGTGACCTACTTAAATAGAGGAAAGAGTCCTATCAAATGAGGATGAAGTGTTAGTCAAAGACAATGTCATACAATGTTAATAAAGAGTTAACACAAATCCTCTATGTAAGAGGAAGCCTTGGACAATTTAAGCAAAGTAGTACACATGAGAGTTATTGCTTTAAAATCACCCGAAGTATGGTGTGAAGAATAAATTCCAGACAACACATAAATCTTGTGAAGATGCCGCTATTAAGATGCTAAGAACAATGAAAGATTCTGGCTTAGACTAGGCCAGTGGTAATAGAAATGAAGACAGCAGATGGTATCAATGAAATCAACTAAGAATTAGATGTACAAAGTGAGACAGAGAGAAATCAAGGTTAATGTATCAAAGTCTGGGTTTTAACAACACTGTGAAACTGAAATGGCAAGATTGAGGAAAAATTGGATTTGGGATAAAAACAAACAACTGTATAGTCCTTAAATATGTGTGTATATATTATATATTCAATAACTATTATAGGCTAAGAGTACATATGACATTTTCAACGACATTACTTAACAAAAATTTAAAAGATGACCCTTTACAGAGACTGGACAGTTTTTAACTTAATTCTAAAGGAATAAATAAAACAGCATTAAACATGTATACCATGCACAGAAAGTCAGGAGTTAAAATAATCCTGTATCAATGTAACCACTAGAAGAAAAAATTTAAATAGGTAACCTACCCTATCAGGTATGTTAACATATGTTCCAGCATCGAGGAGATCCTGTACAATCTCTGTATGTCCCTCCTTGGAAGCAATCATCAAAGCTGTATTTCCATCCTTATCTGTTAAATTTACATTTGGATTCCTCTTCAAAATTTCTTTTACTGACTGTGTGTAGCCTCCTTTTACTGCCACAATCAGTGCAGTCATTGAGTTCTAAAAAACAAAATCAACCCAAGAAATAAATCATCTACAAACACAATGATTCCATTTTCATAAACTAGTTTTAAATGAGTGATTGCTGGGTATGATCCAAAAAGCATAAATAAATAAATAAATAAATAAAAATTTTAAAAAGGAAGTACTGGAAATGAATTTCAAAATAAGAGAAAAACAAACCCTTATACTTCAAATCAGTCTTATTTGCCAAGCCTATTATAACTTAAAATTTAAAATAAACACTTATTTTCACAGAGGGTAGGGCGTTCGCCTTACAAGCGGCCAACATGGCCGACCCGAGTTCGATTCCTCCGCCCCTCTCGGAGAGCCCGGCAAGCTACCGAGAGTATTCGATATGCCAGACACAGTAACAACAAAGTCTCCAATGGAGACGTTACTGGGCCCGCTCGAGCAAATCGACGATCAACGGGAGGGCCTTTACCTTACCTTTACCTTCTTAAAAACATGAATCAAACTTTAAAAAATAATTTTATAAGAAAATCTATATGAAAATGGATATAAAGCAATGCATTAATAGCTTTTTATATTTCAAAAGAAATACATATTCTGTTATCCAGTGATCCAGAAATCACATTTTTAAAAACTGTCTGATTTTTCATGGTTAGTTATTAGATTTTACCTTTTACGTATAGTAACAAACTCCAGACATCACCAATCTTCACACAACACTAATATATCATATGTGTGCATGTATGCATGAAGATCAGCAATTAGTAGATTAGAAGCTTCTGCCAAAGTGGGAAACAGTACAAACTGTTTAATGCAGTGCTTAGAAGTAAGAATAGGAATTCACTTCCATTGCACTGCAGTAAGATATTAAAAGATTTCACTTCAGAGGTTCATTTTACATATGCTCCATTTTTAATCCACTTAAGGGCTGGAGCGATAGCACAGTGGTAGGGCGTTTGCCTTACAAGCGGCCAACATAGCCGACCTGAGTTCAATTCCTCCACCCCTCTCGGAGAGCCCGGCAAGCTACCGAGAGTATCTTGCCCTCATGGCAGAGCCTGGCAAGCTACCCGTGATGTATTCGATATGCCAAACACAGTAACAACAAGTCTCATGATGGAGACGTTACTGGGCCCACTCGAGCAAATCAATGAACAACGGGAGGACCGTGACCGTGACTGTGAACATATATAAGAGATGATTTATTTAATATAAATAAGGATTTTAGGGGGTCAGAGCGATAGTACAGCAGGTAGGTTGCCTGCCTTGCTCAAACCAGGGTTTGATTACTCCAAGTCCCACCAGGAATGATCACTGAGAACACAACCAGGAGTAAGTCCTGAATCAAACATATATAATTATTAAGTAATAGTCACAGTCACGGTCCTCCCGTTGTTCATCGATTTGCTCGAGCGGGCCCAGTAACGTCTCTATCGTGAGACTTGTTATTACTGTGTTTGGCATATTGAATATATCACGGGTAGCTTGCCAGGCTTTGCTGTGAGGGTGAGATACTCTCGGTAGCTTGCCAGGCTCTCCGAGAGTGGCGGAGGAATCGAACTCTGGTCAGCCATTAAATAATAGTACTTTATATTAATTCGTAAATACCCTCAAAATATTTGGTACATGGCTGGGTATGAATACATTAAGTGCTCAGTAAGAAATTAATGCCCACTATTTAGTAAGAAATTTACTCTTTCTAGGTTTAGACCAATGATTTCTAAACTAGTTTATCTGGAGGGGAAGGACTAAAGCTATAGCAGAGCGGATAGGGCATTTGCCTTGTACACGGCCAACCCAGGTTCAATTCCTCTGCACCTCTTGGAGAGCCAGGCAAGCTACCAAGAGTATCTCACCCACACGGCAAAGCCTGGCAAGCTACCTGTGACATATTTGATATGCCAAAAACAGTAACAACAAGTCTCACAATTTGTTGTGAGACGTTACTGGTGCCCACTTGAGCAAATTGATGAACAATGGAAGACAGTGCTATACAGTGCTGGTGGGGAAGAAAAATAAGTTATACTTAAACTATTTCTCCAATTACACTATTATTAATTTATAAAGAAAAGCATTTTAATTAATTCAGATTACTTAGTTTTAAGACTACATCAACTTACACTAATATTACTGAAAGATATTTTTAGCCTCCCAAAACTTATATGAATTAAAATTAGATTCTTAAAAGCATGTTTATAGTACACATTAACTGCAGTATTTTTATCAAGGTAACAGAAAGAAATGCTTAGCTTTTTTCCCAAGTATCAATTAATAATCATAGAAAAATGTTCCTAGGTATATACTAAGGAAAAATATTTTCTCTCTTAAAACATTTCTACTATAAAGGTTTAAAATGGAAAAGATACTCACAGCTCCTTCTTGGTCAACATCAGCTCCCATGGCTAACAAATGCTTTACACATTCCAAATGACCCTTCCGTGCGGCCCAAACCAAGGGGGTCGTTCCATACTATTAAAACAACAGTAAATTGAAAGTTATTGTCAAAAGCATACATAAACTAGCACTCAACATTCATTCTGATAAAAATCATACTTTGAATATTTTTAGATTCCTGTTAACACAAAGAAAAATCACATTTTCTGTCATTTCTTTCCTCCTAAGTAGATGATTAACTGCTACAATAAATATCTTTCAACTAGCTTTAACATTCAGTGACAATTTTTTCCATCATAAAGTCATGTAGCCTCTAGTTTCAATATGTTTTCATTGCTTCTTGTATCTCATAAAATAAAGAGTCCAACAGTCTGGTAATAGGGGAAAAAAATACAACAACTAAGTGTGAAAGTTCTAATGACTTGATAAGGATTAATTCTAATAATTCTTAACATAAAAACATGTGCATAAAATATTTAACATATCATATTTTCACTGATGGAAAAACTCTCTACAATAAAAGTTAATATGACCAAAGATAACATAACGAAAGAATGTTCATAAAACCTTCTTTAAATATAATAATTATAGTGAGTACTCATCCTTTGAAATTTTTTGTGTGTGGCAGGGGAGGTGTTCACATTGGGGTGTTCTCAGGGCTCAGTCCTGGTGATGTTTAGGGAACCAAACGGGTTGTTAGGGGTTGAACCCAGGTCAGTTAAAGACAAAAACTTTACTGGCCCTACTATCTATCTAGTCCCCAATTTAACCCTTCCTTATACAAGCTATACTAGACCATATGTTACAATGTCTACTCTTACCTTATCCAGACACTTCTCACCCCACATTCAGCCTATGGTCTCACTTCCATCATTACTAAGAGTCTTACATCTGGCAAGACTCCCTTCCTCAATATACATCAAAACATTTCTTCAATTATTACTAAGAACAACCTAAGGGTCTCACCTTTTTCTCAAATTCTGGCCTCTACCCCTGATAGAGCAAATCCCTCCATGTGTACACTAAATCTTACTTTCTTGTTTCCTTCCAGAATCTTAATAATCTCCCCCATATTATCAGTCTTTTTTTTCTTTTTGGATCATACCCGGCGATGCACAGGGATTACTCCTGGTTCTACACTCAAGAATTATTTCTGGCAGTGATTGGGGGACCATATGGGATCTGGGAATCGAACCTGGGTCAGCCATGTGCAAGGCAAATGTCCTACCCGTTGTGCTATTGCTCCAGCCCCCATATTATCAGTCTTGTCTTATTTATTCTCGCCACAAACTGGTTTAGGTTTCTCCCCTCTTAAAAAGGAAATAAAAAGATAAAACTTTCAATAAGCTATCCCTTTTTAAGATACTCATTGTTGAGGTTCTGGGATGTGACTGAGTGGCAGAATGTCTAACGTGCAGGCCTGCGGCTCCAATCCCCAGCAGCACCCCAATTCATCTTGTATAATCCAAAAGACACTGACATTGTGATCTCTAGCATCCTGCAACCATAGTGTACAAGCACTGCAATCAAGTGCATGCGGAAAGTAGTAGCAGATGAGTGCCTCAAACAAGTGAGATCACTGGCGAGCCACCACAATCAAAAAATTCAAGAGTCTCTAGCAAGCACCACAACCATGGGTGTGATCCCTGGATATGGAAACAACAATAAAGGGAAAAAAGGAAGTACCTTTCTTTTAATCTTTCAAACTTCTAAAAACAATTTCTAATGGCTACATCCAAGTCCTTACCAAATCCCCCCATGAAAAGTTCCTTTGTATATAAACATTACAAAATCCCCTGTTCTCAAGTCACCAACAATCAACTGCATACTGAATCTACAGATAGTTACCTCAGTTCTTTCTTCCTAAATGTTCTACAGAATTTTTAACAGTCAACTTTTCACCCTAAATTTCATGAGTCATCTTTGAGATCTCACCAAATTTCACACATCTAGTAATGAGCTCTTTAGAGCTGAAGAGATAGTACAGCAGGTAAGGTGCTTGCTTGTACATGGCTAACCCAGAATCGATCCCCAGCATCTCATATGGCCCCAAGATCAGTGCCAGTGATAATTCCTGAGTGCAGAGACAGGAGTCACTCCTGAGCATCTCTGGTTGTGGCCCATAAACAAATAAACCACAACAATGGCAATAATGAGCTCTTTTCCATAATAATTGATCTTCTATTAAATCCATTCTCATAGTTTTAGGAATTGCCACTATACAGGCAACCCTTTCTCACCTTCAGCCACAATCTCTATTATCTAGCAGGACATTTATAACTACAGGTGTTACCATCTCTTCAAAACAAATGCCTCCAGGGTAGTAGAGATAGTATAGGGTTAAAGAGCTTGCCCTGCATGTGGTTGACCCTGGTTCAAATCCCAGTAGCACATATTGTATTCCCACCATACTGAACACCAGCAGGAAGGACCCCTGATCATAGAGCCAGGAGTAAGTCCTGAGCACAGCCAGGTGTGCCCCAACTACCACCCTCCCCGAAAAAAAACTAACAAAGTCAACACGTCTAAAACTGACTGCATTTTCTTCTCTATAAAATGTTTTATACCTTTTAACATCTATTTATATATCTGTTAGTCATAAAATGATGATTTTCTTTATTTTCAACTCATGCCACAGTGCATACTGCTTTCTTATATTTTGCTAAATGTTATCCGTTTGGAAAGAGTATAATTGGCAGATGTAGCTAAGACAACAACATAGGTATATAAAGAAAAGTGAAAATAAAAAAAATTTCTTCGGGGTATGCTGCCACCAGCAAGTCAATCTGTACCTGTGAGGCGAGTGCATCAGCAGCCTGATGGCACCGTCAGACTTTCAGATACCCCAAAATTGCTGCTGTGCCTTTGGCCAGACCCCAAAAACTTGGGGCAAAGTTTAGCAAGAAAGAAAACAGCCAAAAGTTAGGTATGTGGGAGACACAACCACAAACCACCTCCAGCTCAGCTATATAATTGGAGGCATGGCCTCTCTGGTTCCTGATCAAACTGCTTAATGGCCATGATCCCAGAGACTCAGAAATGAATCTCAGAACCCAATGGCTTTTGGCAGAAATGCGTCATGTTCCTGCAGGAGGTTACTGACGCTGGACCACTACAGGTTGGAATAGGTTTCGTGCCTTGGCCTGTTCCCCCTGGTGGCCCGGTGACCGCCATCCTCCAGAGGCCACTGGACAGTCAGGTTTGGGCCCGCAGTGACGAGACATGCAGGGCCTCACGGGATGGGGGTGGAGCCGGCCCTTTCCTACCCACCCCAACAAGACCCCGAGTCGCCACCCACAAATGGTTGATCTGGCTCCTGATCAAGCTGCTTAACGGCCATGATCCCAGAGACTCAGAAACAAATCTCAAAACCCAGCAGCTTTTGACAGAAATATGTCCCTCTGCCTGCTCCCCCTTGGCGGCTCAATGGCTGCCATTCAACAGAGGCCACTGGACAGTCAGGTTTAGGCCCACAGTGACGAGACACTTGGGCCTCACGGGATGGGGGTGGAGACGGCTCTTTCCTCCCCGTCCCAACGAGACCTCCAAGTCGCCGCCCACAAATGGCCTCTCTAGCTCCTGATCAAGCTGCTTAATGACCATAACCCCAGAGACTCCGAAACAAACCTCGAAACCCAGCAGCTTTTGGCAGAAATGCATCCGGACCCCACAGTAAGTTACTGTCACGAGGCCACCCCAGGGGGGAAAGGGTGCTGTCCCTCTGCCTGCTTCCCCTTGGCAGCTCGGTGGCCGCCATCCACCAGAGGTCATTGGAGAGTCAGGTATAGGCCCGCAGTGACGAGACACACGGGGCCTCACCGGATGGGGGTGGAGACGGCTCTTTCCTCCCCATCCCAATGAGACCTCGAGTCGCTGCCCATAAACGGCCTTTCCTGCTCCTGATCAAGCCGTTTAATGGCTATGATCCCAGAGACTCCAGGAACAAATTTCGGAACCCAGCAGGTTTTGGCAGAAATTCCCCCAGATTTAAGTGTTTAAATTTTGTAATTTCAAAATCGCGTGGCTACTACTGCAGCCACGCGACATCATATGTTATTCATAACCAGCAATAGAAAACAAATTGTCTACTGTTGTCTTTTCAGCAGATCTGAGTGTTGGGGTAAAATCCCAAATAATAATGGTGGGTCTGGTGTCAAAATATTGAATGTAATCAAAGTAGAGAGAGAGTAATGTATAAATCATCTGCCCCACAGGTAGGGGGAGGGTGTGGGATGAGGGTATACTGGGGTTTTTTGTGGTGGAGAATGGGCACTGGTGAAGGTACGCGTGTTTCATTGTATGTATGACCGAGACTTAAATCCAAAAGCTTTGTAACTGCTCTCATGGTGATTTAATACAATTATAAAAAAAAAAAAGTAAGGTGGAGTTCATGCCCAATTCAATCAGCGTATCAGTGGCTGAATAAATAGCAGTACTCCTACATAAAAAAAAAAGGAAATTTCTTTTTTATATTTTTTTATTTATAAATTTATAAAACCTAACCAAACCTAACCAAAAAGGTAACATCTCACAGAACCATGAAAAAAATCAATGAAAATTCATCAGGCAGAGGCAGTAGTGGCATTTCTTCCCAAAGAATGAACAAAAACAATGCTTTCACAGAACTTCACAACAGTTAATAGGTTAGATAACCTTCAGGGACTCAAAAGTATAGTATACATGAACAGGAATGGTAAAAAAGTGAACCTAAGGAAAGCAATCTGGAGTCCAAGTAAAAAGTCTAACCTTTGATCCTGGGACAACAGAAACCATCAAAGCTCAAATCATCCAAGCTCTCCAAAAACAATAACAAATTACATGGGTAAATTCATACTCAGTAACACTTGTGGTGGGTATTAAAATATTAAAAATAGAGTAAAATCCTTGGAAGGTGATAGTAGTAATATATCTAGCAGATCCATTTATGAGGTGCAATTTATCTATGTAAAATACATTCTATATATATGAATAGAAAATACACTAAAGAAACCTCACGAGATCATATGAAAATACTAATAACAGACTATGAAGAGATATAATGAAAACTTGGAACAATTCTGCTGACCTACCTTATCAGAGCAGTTGACCTTAGCACCATTTTGTAGTAAAAGATGCACTATGTCTGCATGACCTCTCCCTGCAGCCCAAATGATTGGGTAAACACTGTACTGCTGGGAGAGAGGCGGGTCGGTAGGAAGAAGAAAACCGAAAGGGTTAGGGAGGAAGAGAAAGAAAAAAAAATCTTTTAGGAGGATATTTATAGCATACAATTGCTAAGAAAAGTAGCAGAGTAATCCAAATATTTTTAATACAAAACAGTATTATTAAAAATCAAGTTTTAGATCATTCATTTAAAAACATACTACTTCAAAAAGGTAAACTTCAAAAACATACCCTAACTGGCAACTGATATATACGCAATCTTAAGTAGGTGTATATTATGAACACATCTTTTTATATAGATTAAACACATTCATTGTGACTAATCTAGCCAATAGGAAAAACTAATAAAAGGAATTTGAAGCCTTTCTTATATTTTTCCCATTATAGAGTGCTATAACTGAAATGAAAGGGGTTTTTTTTAGTTTTATTGAGGTATAATTGGCAGATAATATTTGAAGATTTATACAACATAATAACCCATATATACTGTGAAAGGATTTCCCTTTCAATATGAATTTCTTAATCCATAGTCTGAGACAAGGGTTACACAAAGAAGTTATACTTGTATAACCAACTATAAAACTGTACAAAAAGGTATCAATAACCATTATGTTAATTACCATAATATTATTATGTTAATAATAAAATTAATAGCAATGCTAATGCTAATAATACATAAGAACAGAAAACAAGATACATGGCTTAAGGATTTCAAAATTTCTTCTGAAATGTTAGGCAGTTTTCGAGGGAGATGGGGGGTGTTAGAATTCATTAAATTACAGTTTAGGTAATATGGTCACAATAGTGTTAAAGTACATGACATTGATGTATAAAGTTACTACAGGACCTCCTGCCCAAATTTCCGATGAACCTTCTCAACTGCCCCTTTGTTATCTCTGGTCCCAATTTTCATAAAATTTTAAGACAGTTGTAAATGACATTTAATATCTAGAAACTCCCTTTTATTAATAAAAATTAAGAAAGCTTAGTTTGAAAAATAAATTTGTGTTATGAACATTCTGCATTACCTTTTATAAGATCTCCATCATTTCTATCCATTATGATGCCTAAATATAATAGATTTTGAGTACTGCCTAAGAGACCTTAGCACTTGCAATAGAGATGGAATTTTTGTTAATGCTTACCAGACCAGTGACACTTGGATTGGCACCATGAGAAAGCAGCAACTCTACTACTTCTGTACGGCCTTTATAACATGCCCACATAAGAGCTGTCCATCCTCCCTGGAAAAGAAAAGGTGGGGGAATGGGAGATTAAAACACCTTCACTCGTCTCTAAGCATAAAATTCAAATAATAAAGTTCTTTTTGCAATAATTTAAATACCATCATTATCTGAAGGCAATACTATGCAGTTATAGATTTCCAAGCTCCAAGAGAAATATGCAACTGTACCTAACATGAGTCAATTTTCTTAAGTCTATAATGATTATTTTACAGTCTATACAGTGTCACAGAAACTGAAATAGGGTCGTAAAGTTTGACTACAGCGAATTGCCATGATTTATTTTAACTGTTTAAATTTTTTTCTTCAGGAAACTTTCTAATCCCTGGATATTCTTCCCTTTGCACTAGTTTAAGCTTTTTTGCAGAGGGATTCCAGAAGTCATCTTCAGTTCCTGTAAATACATCCTACAAAGCCCAGATCATTATAATATCTCTTGTTAAAAGAAAAGCTGCTGGTATGGGAACGTTGCTCTGCTGGAGAACGTGAATCTCCCACCTGTTCGACTATGGGCACATCAACAACAAAAAGGCAAAGGCAATGACATATAAGTTATGATTTCTAGCGCGGTATAAATTAAGAGCAAGTATGAATTAAGAGCATGATAACTGTCTATTTCCTAAGCTACACGGGAAATTTTTGGTTTAGCTATAATGGAACTTAATAAGAAAACTATGTAAGAAAATTATATTAAAGAATGATTTTTTTCTCTTATAAAATCAATATTTGGAACAAACCATATTTGGTTCTAAGAACGTAATTCTTCTGATTCTGTTTCATAATCACTAAAAAAAAAAAATAGCCTGTCCAAGAAAGGCAAAGTTATCAGTAGGGAAAACAGGTCATAGGTTGGGAAACAGGTGGGGGGGGGGCGCGATTATGAAGCAGCAGTCGAAGGATACTGCTGAAGTGATGCAGCTTCTCTGGGTCAAACTGAGAAGGGGGTTTATGATGTTAAGTCCTTAGAACTGTACATAACGAAGAATAAATTTTACTTATATAAGTTTTTAATCAGAATATGAAGAAGAGGGACAGAACATAGATCAAAATAAATGAATCAAAATCTATTACAAATCAATAATTTAATTGCATAATTACTTAAAGACAGCTTAAGGAACTTATGAAAACAATATTTTGACTATCTGAATGCTAAAGACAAAAAGAACTGTACACAGACAGATGTGAATTTAGTGAATTCACTTAGTGAATTTCTCTCAAAGGCATGGATTAAAGGTAAAGGTAAAGGCCCTCCCGATGATCGTCGATTTGCTCGAGCGGGCCCAGTAACAAAGGCATGGATTAAAAATTCTGAAATTACTTTGTGTCTTAGATTTTGACAAATAAGTAGCTTCATAGTAGATAATGAGAGCAAGATTTTTTTACTGTCAGAGAAGCGTGTAAAGGAGAATGTTACACTGGGCGAGCTAACAATATTAAGAGTCGCCTAATATATAGACATGAGATATATACAGATAGACACAAAATATGTACATAGTATATGAAAGTTAGTATACAAACAGATTTTTTTTATCTCTGTCCACTAAAATAGACAAGCAGGGACACTCTAGTAGGAAAAGGTTCACACCACCAATTGTTTCTAAATGCCTGCTAGTCTGCCTGCCTGCCTTCCTGACTTCCTTCCTTCCTTTATGTTATGCTTTCAACAGATGCCAAGATCAAATAAGAGCGAAATCTTGCTAACCTTATCATATACACATACAAAAATAACATTCTTAAATTTATGAACATTTTTCGAAAACTACTTAAATTACTGAAAACATTTTTTTAACTATTTTTTTCTCTTGAAGGAAATAAGAGGGTAATGAACTTCTTTTTGGAGCAATATTTTGGAATTTTAAATTCTGAAAGAAACTGAAAATGTAACTGAGAATGTTCTAAAAAAGGTACATTACCTCAATTTTAAAACATTTGAGGCTCATTTCCATTTCCAACATCAAATCCTAAACATACTATCTTAACATCAACTCCCACATAAAAATAGAAAATTTTACACCTACGAATTACTGTTAATAAGATTCCCACAAAACAACAGCACAGACAGGAAACATACCATGTCACGGTGCTCCAGGTTAACCTCGCATTTGAGCAGTTCTTCCACAATGTGCACATGTCCTTCTTTTGATGCTGATATAAGTGCTGTCCAGTTATCCTGGAGCACAAAGACACAAGTGTTACCATTTCAAAACTAAACACACAGTCCAAAGTCAGGAAAAATAACTTTAAATTTACACACCAAACAGTCATACCAGATTGACATGACTTGACCCACAATAACCTATTCTTCAGAAATAGCTGAGAAGCAAAGGTATGTTAAAAATATATCTGTCTACTTGTATTACTATATGGTGTAGGCATAGTTTCACAACTGCTTATTTAGTCTTTTCATAGAACTTCTAATCATATACTGTGTGTGTGTTTTTAAAGAAAAAAAGATGACTAAGCCTCAAAGTTAATCCTTCTGGTTAACAACAATTACTATAAATTGAAATGAAAGAGCCTGTAATCATATCTAAGGAAACAGGTTATTAAACTAAACTGATCTTATATGGCAAAGACAGGGCTCAAAGGTGAGTCCTCACCTAGTCTAGTCCAGTACAAGCCCACCTCTGGGAAGACAAACATCTGACAGTTCCCATCCCTCATCACATCATCCTACCTCCAGACATACTTGCAACACTAAAATACAGAAAAGAACCAGAGAATTCATGAACGTTCATAGAGACCCTTTTTAGGTGCAAGTGGTCATTTATGACTCTTCTCTGAGGGTGCTAAATCAATTAGACTCATTTAGACTTTTTAATTTATAAGCAAAGATACAATAGATATAGCAATATGCACCTAAAAACCAATATCTGGAAAAACAGATAAAGTGGGAAAAAGTTGGAAGCCTCTTGGAACAGTGATTTATTCCTCAGAAAATATATCAGAAGGAACAACCACATCTTACATTTATCTTTCTTTGGGGGGTGGGGGTTGGGCCACACCTGGCTATGCTCAGGGTTCACTCTTGGCGCTGCACTCCTGGCTCTGCACTTAGGGATCACTCCTGCAAGGGTTCAAGGGTCTATATATGGTGCTAAGGATCGAATCTGGGTCAGCTGCATGCAAGTCAAGTGCTTTACCCACTGCACTATCTCTCAGGCACTAACTACCATCTTACATAATAATATTTATAATATTAAGATACTATTAGAGGGTGTTACTTAACAATATGACTCATATATGGATATATTCTAGGAGTTATTATGTACATTCTGTACATTAATTTTATGTACATGTGCAGCCTTAGTCAGTATAATCTATATATAATAAACACAAAAAGCTAAAAGCTTTCACTCTACAAATTTTTCTCCTAGATTATCCCTTTAACTTAATTTTAACATTAACTTATTATATATGTTTATTCGGATGGACTTGAAAGAATAAATTATAATCTATTACTTTTGAGTCACTTGCTAAAGCCCAGAAAATAGTGAAGTTGAGGGAAAAAAATAAGTCAGTAAATACCAAATCTTCCAGATTACAATTGGCTCCATTCTTGATCAATTCTTTCACTATTTCCAAATTGCCTTGTTCAGCAGCTAACATCAGTGGAGTCTGCCCACACTGGAAAACATAAGAGAATTTGTGAAGATGCTGGCTGTAGTTTCACTGAAATATCACAGTTAAATATATCACATTTATATTTTCAGGTTAGTATGGTAAGCACTCATTCTAGCTTTTGTTTAATTTAAAAACACCTTTTAAGTCTTAAGTTCTTCGTCTACTAATTCTGTAAATGTCAAGGAGAAAGTGAAATAGTTTTTTACCAAAGCACTTTTTTCAACGCTGCAATTTCATTCAAAATAAGTAAACATGAACACTAGGCTCTGAAAAAGCAAAGATCACCATATATATATATATCACCATATATATCACCATATATATATATCACCATATATATATATCACCATATCACCATATATATATATCACCATATATACATATCACCATATATATATATATTCCAAGCTATGTGACCAAATTCCCTAATATAAGTAAATATAATACAGAATGTGATTTTAATAATGCATACCCATATATGATATCTTGTATGATTATCTTAACTAAAGGGAAAGAAAGTAAAACAATGAAAAAAATGTAGGTATTATGAATAATACTTTTTCTTTTAGTTTCCAGTTAGCTTTAATTCATTAAACTAAAGCTTCTTCTAGTTCCATCAGAGTTGCCAGGCTGTGTGTACAGAATGAGTCACAGAAGCAGGAACCGGTCCCCTGGCACTGAGATAGCAGAATGGGGACTGGCAGCTGGAGCCTGATGGGGACAAGCAGGTGGAGCCTGAATCTAGCAGCAACCCTCACCCACCACCCACCATTACAACAGCCTCTACTGCAGGTGTAGTTGACAGATTATCATTTTCCGAGGCACCAAAAAATGATGCAGGTTGAAGTGGAGGGTTAATGAACAGAGATAAAACTATAGGTGCTAAAACATACTAAAGTGAGGAAACATTGGTTTGGGTTGTCTTATCATGGGAGTTCTGTAGCACTGTCCTCCCGTTGTTCATCGATTTGCTCAAGTGGGCCAGTAATGTCTCCGTCGTGAGACTTGTTACTGTGTCTGGCATATCGAGTATGTCACGGGTAGCTTGCCAGGCTTTGCCAGGCGGGCGAGATACTCTCAGTAGCTTGCCTGGCTCTCCAAGAGGGGCCAAGGAATCGTACCCAGCTGGGCCAGGCTGGCTGCGTACAAGGCAAACACCCTACCACTGTGCTATTGCTCCAGCCTAGGAGCTGACGGATAGTGAGTAGTTGCAAGGTCAACCTAAAGTCAACCTGCAGAAAACTATAAACTAAACTCCTGGATGTACTTGGAGGAAAAATCTATACCAAAAATAAAAGTAGACAAACATTTATTTAAGAAATAACTAACCATGTGTCATAGGGGAAAATATCCAGTATATTTTAAAAATGGTAATTTGACACCATTCCTATGTTTAAAACCCTGAATGGTCTCCCACTGCTCTTTTGGGAAAGACTCTAAATCTTAGCCCTGAATGACAAGAGATACTTGTAAACAAGTCAACCTGGATACACAAAGTGCTGCTTCCTCTTTACCCTACAAGTCTGAAAGCTCTTACCCACCTGTGAACCCCCAAGGAACTGCGCTTCCCTCAATTAACTATCACCAACCCTCCTGGACACATTATAAGACACTCCCTACCCATTTTCCAAAATTACTACACCATATCTGATGGGGTGGGCTGGAGCGATAGCACAGCGGTAGGGCATTTGCCTTACAAGCAGCCAACATGGCCGACCCAAGTTTGATTCCTTCGCCCCTCTCGGAGAGCCCAGCAAGCTACTGAGAATATCTCGCCCACACAGCAGAGCGTGGCAAGCTACTCGTGACGTATTCGATATGCCAAACACAGTAACAACAAGTCTCATGATGGAGACGTTACTGGGCCCACTCAAGCAAATTGATGAACAACAGGAGGACCATGACATCTGATGGGGTTCAGACAGTAGGTAACAAATCATAGACGCAAATACATATATAATGTATGTGTGTGTATATATATGTGTGTGTGTGTATATATATATATATGCCTCTCAGAGAATCTGGCAAGCTACCTAGAGTGTCCTGCCCGCACGGCAGAGCTTGGCAAGCTACCTGTGTTGTATTCAATATGCCAAAAACAGTAACAATAACAGGTCTCATTCCCCTGACCCTGAAAGAGCCTCTAATCATTGGGAAAGATGAGTAAGAAGAGGCTGCTAAAATCTCAGGGCTGGGATGGAGATGTTACTGGTGCCCGCTAGAGTAAATCGATGAACAGTGGGTAGGATTTCATATGTCTTAATATAGTCCCCCATTCCCTGCCAGGCGTGATCCATAGGTGCTGAACCAGGAGTAAGCTCTGAGCACTGCCAGGTGTGTTTAAAAAAAAAAAAAAACAGAAAAAAGAAGAAAGAATTATAATAATGGGCAAAATATAAAAAAATGCCATTATAAAATCAATATAAATAAAACACATGCACATACAGAAGTAAACTGTCTTAATACACATACACTAGTTTAAACAAAGTACAAAAGCTGCCTTATTACAGCCTTATATAATGATGAACACTAAATTATATGTAGTAATCACATGTCATTCAACAGCGGTCATTAGGGAATGAGGTACTGTGCATGAATACATTTTCCAGGTGAAAAAGTTTATCCTTTAAACATTAAATTTGATTATAACTTCTATGGTAGCAATTATTCTAAAAAGCAATGCACACACTGCAACTTGTTAAACAGATTACCTTAAGTCTTATGCTTGTGATTCTGAGTCATAACTTCAAACATCAATTATTATGCCATGCCTGAATTTGTCAACTCTTTGGCACACTTTCTAAAGCATCCTCTCCCTTCTAATAAATTAAGATAAAAAGTGAAATATCTAAGTTGTCAGCAGAAATTGAAAAAACAATTAATTCTGAATCCATGACCAGAAGAATGCATGGGTTTTCATCAGTTTTCAAACTAGTTATTCAAAAACTCATAGGTTTTCTGTTTACTTTCTAGGGTCATGTATCAGTTCACAGAAATATGTTTTTCTCGAGTATGAGAGGAAAAAATAATACAGATGAATAAAAATACCTATAACACAAATGACAGCACAAACTTTATGAACTAAGTAGAAACAAGCCAAATAAAGATTTGAACATGAAACTTTCTCATACAGAAACTATTAGCTATCTGCTCTGTATACATAGTGACAAGACTAAGCTGAAGAAGACTAACAACAAAACTCATCATTCCACCTCACTTGCAGAAGAAACAATCTTGCAACACTGCTCTGGCTAGTCTCCCAGGAAATCTCTATAATTAGACTAACTCGGCTGAACTTTCCTTCATGCCCACTACACAGGCACTATGCTAGAGCTGCATCAAGACGTCAGATGCTTTTTCTTACTTGTCTCTCTGTTTCTTTGCTTGCCCATTTCCACTATAAAGAAATCTGTGTTCTCTCTTTTTGTTTTTTGGATCACACCCAGCAATGCACAGAGGTTACTCCTAGCTCTTGCACTCAGGAATTACTCTTGGCGGTGCTTGGGGAACCATATGGGATGCTGGGAATCGAACCCAGGTAGTCTGCATGCAAGGCAAAAGCCCTACCCTCTATGCTATTGCTCTAGCCCCCATGTTCTCTTTTAAACATACACTTCTCTCTTTCTTTCCCTTCACATCTTTCTAAAGAAGTTTCAATAAAACTATCTTGCATCACAAAATAATAATAATAATAATAATAAATGTTAGATGCAATCAGTACACAGTAAGGAAGAGTCAGGAGGTCAGAAAAAGCCTGTTTTTTTTTTAAGGCCCTCATTTGACTAAGTTGCAATTTGGGGAGGTGTTACAGTCAGTCCAACGCAATCCTTAACTGGGGGCTGGAGAAACAACACAGCGGATAGGGTTTTACTTTGCACAAAGCCGACCCGGGTTCAATTCTCGGCATCCCATATGGTCCCCAAGAACTGCCAGGAGTAATTCCCGAGTCCATGAGCCAGGAGTAACCCCCGTGCATTGCCGGGCGTGACTCAAAAAGCAAAAAACAAAAAGAGCAAGCAATCCTTAACTGATAGACCTTCTACAGTTAAACTTACAATAACCTGCCCCCAGCGCCATATAATCCCATCAATGGCCAAGACCCAGAGACTATAAAACCCAGGTCCAGAAAGCATGTGGCCGCGTTTGCGGCCACACGACATCTTATTATCTAATTCTTACTCTGGAGAACCTGGCAGGCTACCAAAAGTATCCTGCCCACACGGCAGAGTGTGGCAAATTCCCCGTGGCGTATTCAGTATGCCAAAAACCAGTAACAATGAAGGGTCTCATTCTCCTGAAAGAGCCTCGAATGTGGCACTTTCTAAAATCTCAGGGATAGGACGAAGGAAATGTTACTGGTGCCTGCTCGAGGAAATCGATGAACAACAGGATGAGTGATACAGTGACAGAACCTCATGCCAGGACACACCAAAACACTGTGTACCAACTGAAGTTCACTGCAGCAGGTACCACAGTTCTTAAGCGCTTTCAAGAAAACTACAATGCAAAAACACTTACTATGAATCATCTTCTTGCTTTTTCCAATTCTTAGATAATCTCACTTCTGACTGTCCAGACATATTAGACCAAAATAGCACTTCCCTTTAAAGGAGTCACCTTTAGAGAATATATACTTTGAAATTGCACTTAAGTTCTATTTCTAAACACATTCCAATCTCTCTCTTGAATTTAGAATCCCACTTCGTTTTCTTAGAGAATAATAATGTCCAACATCAATATCATTTCCTTATCAGAAACTAAGAAATATTCTTAAAAAAAAAAGACCGGGAAAGCAAATTTATTCAGACTTCACAATGAGTCAATTATTCACACTGAATATTCCCAATTTGTTTATTATTACTCTAAAATTATTACTTTAAAACTCCAAGATAAATTGATATAACATGGAACAAAACATAGGTATCATTAATGGTAGTTAAATGCTATCTTTATGAGAATAATATCAATAAAACTTTATGCCTATTGATGTGCTCTATTTTTCCTTGTAATCAAAGTTATTTTTCCACTATTCCTCCTCTAACCCCCCAAAAAAGTTATTTTTCCAAAGCAAAAGTCTATAAAATAAGGGACTATCATGATAGTATAGTAGGCAGGGTGTTTGCCTTGAGTGCAGAAAACCCAAGTTCTATTCCTGGCATCCCATATGATCCCCAGAGCACTGTAAGGAGAAATTAAGTATAGAGCCAGGAGAATCCCTGAGCATCATCAGGTGCTACCCAAAAAGCCAACCCCCCAAAAAAGTCTATAAAATACATCTTATCTTTTGAACTATCATTTTGTTGTTCTAAATATGCTGATTTGTTACTAAAGTAACTACTTCTATAATTCTTTTATAGCAAGAAACAATCTTCAATTATAAATTTATAACAACTATTGACTATTCATAATGATACAAGGGTATAAAGACATTAATTAACCAAATATATATTTTTCAATACAGAAACACTGAAAAGATATTTATATCATTAGATGAACTTCTTCTGGAGACTAAGGAAAAGATGATAGAGCATAAAGACAGTTGTTAAAAAAAATAAGGTTCAAATTTGATTTTGACCAAATTTCTATCTTGGATAAAAAACTTAGGAATTAAGCCACTTACCGAATAATCAGGATAAATCATAGAAATATCCCTCACAGAGATACTTTGCAAACCAAATGAACTAAGATGTACAAAATAATTGCAACAATATTTACATAAATATTCAGAATAAACATTAGGTATCATAACATTATTGCAATCATAAAACTTAATAATAAAGAACTAACTTGATTACAGGTAAAGGCCCTCCCGTTGTTCGTCGATTTGCTCCAGCGGGCCCAGTAACGTCTCCATTGGAGACTTTGTTGTTACTGTGTCTGGCATATCGAATACGTCACGGGGAGCTTGCCAGTCTCTGCCGTGTGGGTGAGATACTCTCAGTAGCTTGCCGGGCGGAGGAATCAAACTTGGGTCGGCCATGTTGGCTGTGTGCAAGGCAAACGCCCTACCGCTGTGCTATCACTCAGCTTTAAAACCCTTTTATATTTGTATACTGTGTTGATAGCAATACTAATCATAATTGCCAAGAGTGAAAGAAAGCCCAAGTGTCCACTGATGGATAAGTAGGTAACTAAAATATTATATATACACTAAATGTCATATTATTCTGCCTTTAAAAGGAAGGAAATAGGGCCAGAGAAAAAAACAAAGCTGGCAAAGGCATTTGCCTTTCATGTGGTCAACCTGGGTTTGCGCACCATATGTGGTCCCCAAGCCCCGCCAGGAATTACTCCTGAGCACAGAACCATGAGTAAGTTCTGAGCATCACTGGATGCTCAGGCCCAAATACACACACACACACACACACACACACACACACACACACACACAGACACACACACACGCACACACAGGAAATCCTGTCACATGCCACAACATGAATGAACCTTGAAAGCATTACACTTAAATAAGAGTCACGAAAAGACAAATGTATATAATTCCACTTACGAAATGCTTAGGAGTCAAGTTCATAGAGACAATAAAAAGGGTAGCAGTTGAGAGCATATGGAAAGTTGTTTAAAGGGTAAGAAGTGTGTTTTTTTCACTTTTTATTTTAATTTTTTGTGGGAGGGGCCATATCCAGTTGTGTTTAGGGGTTACTCATGGGTCTTTAGCTCTGGAATCACTCGTGGCAGGCTTGGACCATACTGGATGACAGACCATAACACAGGTTGGTTGCGTGGAAGGCAAACACCCTTCCTGCTGTACTACTGCTCCAACCCCTGAAATATTTTTTTACAACAGTACTATAAAGGGTGAGCATTACATATTTCTTATTATCACCTTGATTCTTAGTACAGTACATTGTACATATTCAGTAGTTAACAAATGATTGTGAAAAGAACTTAATTTCAAAAACATGGTCTTACCTCATTTCTCTCATCTACATCTTTGCATTTTTCAAGAAGAGCTTTTAGAGCTGGAATGTTTTCTTCTTCTACATAATTTATTACACTCTGTGATATTAAAACGGACATTTTCACAGCAAACTGTAGTTTCCTTTATTCCAATACCTGTTAAACACATTTTAGATAAAATACACATGTGATTAGGAAGAAAAAAAACTGAAGTTACTACTAACTATATTATTCTCATTCTCAACTTTAGATTTGTGTTTCACTGGAAGAAATGAAAACAAGGCCCCATAACTCAACTGTGAAATGCAACCCCTATCCTCACAAGTTTCATATTCATGTCACTCCTAACCCTGCTGAACCCCAAGCTCCAGATTCATCCCCAATTTTTCAATTTTTCTCAACCTTTTTCAGATGTGGCCCCCTTCTAACTATTTCTTTCCTTTGGCACCCCTGTTCCAACAGTGGCTCTTAGTCTCATGCCATGCCTGTTACTCATTTATGCAACTCTTATTATGGCCCCCTTGGATTATCTCATCTTGGGATTTTTGTCATATGGACCTCAGTTGAGAAACACTGCCCTAATCTTTCTCATCACCAACCCCAAATAAGAGATCCTTTAATTACTCTTTCTGTTGTCTTCTATGGCAGCCTCAGCTTCATTCTGTTGAAGTCAGAACCATGAAACTGTCTGTGATTTAACTCATCCCCTTAAATTCTATATTCAATCTATAAACAAGTCCTTTTGACTTTAACTAGAAAATATATTTCATACCTGACAACTGTTCACTACCTTCCCAACATAACCACCCTGTCCCAAGCCACTATGACTTCTCACGCAGCTCTCAACTACTCTCCATCCACTTTTCCTTGCCTACAATCGATCATCCCCAAGACAAAGACTTTATAAAAACTTCTCTTAGTGCCTGGAAAGGGAGCTCAATATGCAAAATATATGCCTTGCATGTTGGAGGCCTGTGTTCAATTCCCGGGACCACATACCCCCCACAGTCCGCTGCCAAACACTACCAGGAATTACCTCTGAACACCAGTTATTTATAGCCCCCCAAAAAACAAAACAAACAAAAAATCTTGAACTTATGTTAGACCAGAGCTTCCTAAGCTATAACATATATGAAAATCACCTAGAGACCATGTCAAAAACAAAATTCTGGTCCATACTTTCAGAAAGCAGACGTGGGTGCTGCCCTAGACTCTACATCTTTCTTTAGCCAAGCAATGTAACTGCTACCAGTGCTGACAAAAGAACCATACTGGTACTGATTAGATATTTCTTGCTCAAAGTCTTTCCATGGCTTCTCAAAGCACTCAAGATAAAGGCAAATATTTTAGCTGCCATATGACTCTAAGCAGGATGCTATCACACCTCTGATCTCAGCTCCTACCCTTCCCTCTTATTCATTTCACTGTTTGAACATAGCAAATTTTGTACTCTTTATTGGGGTCTCTCCACTAGCTTTTCTCTACATCAAAACTTCTCATACCCCAGACAAACACTTGGCTCACTCCCTCACTTTCGTCAGTCACCTTATTGGAAAAGTCTAACCTGACTATGTAATGTACTAAAATAACATGTTCATACACATCGCACAGCAGTCACTGAAATCCCAGCACCCTGCCATGTCTCTATCATTGGTTGAAATACTATATAATTTCAGGGGCATGTCTTAGCAGTTCTATATGTGTATAAGACTCTATATGTGTGGGTAGATATAGTCCACTACCAAAGTTCCAGTGCTCTCCCACCACCAAAGACTCTCTCTACCCATTCCTCACCCACGTCCCTTTGGAAGCCATAATTTTCACTGAATCTATAAGTTAGTTTTATGGGGAGTTTGCCACTCTGTTTACTTTAGTAACTGTAAAGGTAAAGGTAAAGGCCCTCCCGTTGATCGTCGATTTGCTCGAGCAGGCCCAGTAACGTCTCCATTGGAGACTTTGTTGTTACTGTGTCTGGCATATCGAATACTCTCGGTAGCTTCCCGGGCTCTCCGAGAGGGGCGGAGGAATCGAACTCGGGTCGGCCATGTTGGCTGCTTGTAAGGCGAATGCCCTACCGCTGTGCTATCGCTCTGGAATATAAATATCCATATATGTATATATATTTATACATACACATACATATAAATATACAGATTTCATATAGTAACTGTCAATTCCTAACTTTTCTCACTTAGGAAAATTACCTTGAGTTTCACCCATTATTGTCTCAAATTTCTATCTTTTTAAACAGAGAGTAGTATTCTATTGACTATATAATATCAAAGCTTCTCTATCTAGTCATTTGTATATGGGCATTTGGGGGAATTCTTTGTTCTGGTTACTATGAAGAATGTTGCTGTGTACATAAGGACATAAATATCATTTCACATCCTTAGGATAAATGCCTAGAAGTGGTATATGGCATTTATCATATGGCATTTTCACTTTTATTTTTTAAAGGAGCATCCATAAGGTTTTCTATAAAGGATGTGCAAATCTATATTCTAACCAACACTGAATCAGGATTTCATTAATTATATATATATTTAACATTAGTTAGTTCCAAATTTTTTTATATAGCCCAATTTTACAATGTGAGGTGATATGGTTTATGGTTATAATTTTCACTTCCCTAATAAGTTATGCTGAGATTTATTTTCATGTTTTGGTAAATCAATTAGAAATGTTTACTCAGGTCTTATGCCTGTTTTTTTTGGGGGGGGGACCTGCTCACTTTTTTGTTGTCACATGAGTGCCTTATACATTTGGGTCATCAAAATATATAATTGATTGTAAATGGAATGGTTTTCTTAATTTCCAATTCAGTGTTTTTGTGAGAAATGTAGTAGATTAATGTGTACTGATTTAGTATACTGCCACTTTATTGAACTCAATATTTCTAGTAGTTCTGGTGTTTTCAGGTTTTAAAATTTTATGTTATCATATTATTCACAAATACTGATAGTTTAAGCTCTTCTTTTCCAATATGAAAATTTTTAACTTTTTTATTACATCACTATGAGACAGACCCTTAAAACGCTGTTTATTACATTTCAGGCACATAGTACTCCAACACCCATCCCTCCACCAGTGTGTCCCTAGGTTGTTCCTTCCCATCAACCCCCACCCCCCTTTGCCACCCTCTCCCTGCTTCTATGGCAGGCCTCTCTCTTTCTCTCTCTTTCTCTTTCTCTCTCTCTCTCTCTCTCTCTCTCTCTCTCTCTCTCTCTCTCCCCCCCCCTCGGCATCCAATATAAATTTTTAAAATATCTTTTTCTTGCCTAATTTTTCTGACTAGGACTTCCAAAACAATGTTCAAACGATGTGGTCAGAGTACATCTCCTTTACTTATTCTAAATCTATTTCACACCTTTTCCTTTCTAGGCCTTTACATTTACTATTTCCTTGGTTGAGGAAGCCCACCCACTGTATACATGCCTGGACAGACTATCATCCATGAAGATGTGAATCTAATATTTTATTGTCTGGAAGCCTTTTTTTTTTGGCTGATTGTTCATCCTTAGCTTAACCAGTGCCCTTGCTCTGGGATTCCTATACATCCTGTATAAACATCTAAACTTAGACTCAACTTTCTATACAACTATTCTTGTATATGTCTCCTTAAACAGGTTCTTGTAGCAGGACCCATCTTACCAATAGCATAATGACTACAAAACTAAATCTGAGAAAAGAAAAGCAATCCTTGATTATGAGAAACTGGTCTGTCTTGCAGAGCTGGGTCTCTGTGTTCTTTTGTGAACATAAACAATTTCACCAAAATGAGATAAGATCACTCTGCAAGCAGGACAAAAACAAGATCCCTCGGGAATCATTCTGGGATAAGAACATGAACTGTATCCTATCTTTAGCTCAATGTTACCACTTTACAAGGTGCTTCTAAAGCTGGACCTTAGTGATGTGGTTTAAAACTTTGGATAAATAAATAAATCTCTTTCTAAGAGAAAGGGTTCCTTTCTTTTATACCAATACATGTTTCCTAGCAGATTTCCTGGACCACAGAAGACACTGAATTTCTTGAAAGAAGGAGCATCATTTCAATCTAATGTACACAGTACTTACATGAATTTATGGACAATTATCAATAAATGCTCGAGCGAGCCCAGTAACGTCTCCATTGGAGACTTTGTTGTTACTGTGTTTGGCATATCGAATACGTCACGGGGAGCTTGCCAGGCTCTGCCGTGCGGGCGAGATACTCTCGGTAGCTTGCCGGGCTCTCCGAGAGGGACGGAGGAATCGAACTTGGGTCGGCCATGTTGGCTGCCTGCAAGGCAAACGCCTATTTTTGGAAATGGCATTCATAGCCAATGATGGGGCGGGGGGGAGGGGGGACATAATGGTCCAGTAAGCTCATTTTCAGAATTTGCAAACAAAACTAATTAGCTAATACATTTCTTGCTATCTTCAAAACGCTTTCACTCAATGGTGAAATTCACCTTATAACTTTCTTCTACAATCTGAAGCAACAGTAGCAATTTGTTACCTAATACTAACTTGCATATCTCTCAGTTATAACATAAATATAAAAACTGAATGCTCCTTTTGACTCCAACCTCTTCTGTTCCTACTGTCATGTAAGTTTCTAGCAACTCTTGACACACATGTGTGTAAACTCAAAAAAAAAAAAACAGCAGCAGCAGTGGTCTACCTCTCCGGCCACCCATGTTCGGTAGTCTCATGCTGGTTCCCCCACTCCGGGGAGGTCAATGGCGATGGGCAGGCGAAGGAAGGAAATGAGGGCCAGGCTGGTTGGTGTCAGTTGCAGTTTATTCCATTCCCATCTCCATCCTCCTCTGATTCTCCTCCTGCTTCTTCCTCCTCCATGCTACTTCATTCTCCTCCTCAATACCCCTTCATTCTCCTTCTGGCTCTGGAATCTGGACCTCCCTTCTCCTTCTCCTTCTGGAGTCTGGATCCTGATCCCCCAGCCCACTCTTACAGTCTAGTTAAATCCCAAAACCATGAGGAGTTGGGGTAACAATTACACATAGAGGTGGTCACAATCAATAGGGGTAAAGTTGTTTCCCTCGGGGAAAGCAGCTTCTAGGACAGATACTCTCTCAGCAGGATGACCCACCCTAGAACGGAATCCCCTGGTTGTGTTTCTCCTCAACTTGCCCAACAAACAAGGACATTCATAATATAAAACATTCTGTATGGATACAGTAAGAAGTACATTAAGCTTATAGAATTGCTCTCCTAGGGTCATCTCGATCACAGACTACAGTGCTCAGGCCAGACAGTCTTTCCTATCCCTAGCAGGGTCCTAGTCTCGTCGTTACTTTTGGATCATGACAGCATTTGTCTATGATCAAACTCTTAACTTATAGTTAAGAATCGTGGCACTTTGGCCTGGCCCATTTCGACGCCAGGGTAGCTCACAGCTTGCCCTGGGTCCATTCAGTCCCTTGTCGGGACCCTGCTTTTGTGGTATTAGGAACTAAGGGCAACTGAGGCTTAAATCAAGAAAGCAGATGCCTGGGAGTGAATAATATTCAAAGCTAATTAAATCCTAAATTACAAAGCATAATATTAACTGTCTTCCTATATCTATACAAAAAGGACATTGCATTAAAGTAAACTATTCAAAAGACATAAGGAGAGGAGAAAGGCAATATAAACTTACAACACAATTTCAGTGTCCTAGAAGGATCTGACCCTACAAATTAACAGAGTCTGATTAGGGGGAAAAGCTGATTAACTGGTGGGGGAAGAGAGCACAGAGAAGTGGTTACAGATAAGTAAAGGAATGGGAGTGACTCGGGAGCACTGTGATGGGTGTAACCTGATAAACCTAAGCTCCCTGTGGCCAGGGAGAAAGAACAAAGCAACGTCATCCTACAACATGTAATCTAGAACTCCCCCTGGTGTTGCCCAATTGGCAGTCCTGCCAACTGTACAAACTTTTCTCCAGAGTAAATCCCAAGTAATGACCATCCTATGTGCAAAAGTCCCCAAAGAATTGTCCTCTCACTTCAAATAAAGTCCTAAATCCTTAATACCATGGCACTGCTTGGTCTCTTCTACCCCTGCCCACCTTCCTGACCTCATCTCTAATTACTCTTTCTCTTTCATTCATCCTAAATTTCCATTTAAATTCCCCTGATCCACTGTATATCAAAACAGTCATCATTCCCTATAGGATGAAGAGTCATCTCCATTCCTCTCCATTCTATAGCCTTGCTTCAGTCTTCCACGTAGCACTGAGCAATCTTCCACATACCATTTACAATTTTATTTTTCGATGCATTCCCTTGTTCCCCGAACATCTCAAAAATGTAGCTCAATGAAGATCTTGGGGCTGTAGTTCACTCATCTTGTATGTGTGAAAGGGAAGGGCTCAGTGAAAATGGTGACTGTTTCATTTGCTATTGGATCCCAGCATGTAGAACAGTGTCTAGCACACAGTAGATATCCAACACTTAAAGACTAAAAGAGCATCACTATGCTGTTCCAATTATCTGGATGCCTAATCCAGCGCTAACTTTCTAACTAAAATATCCTTTCAAATTCCAGCTCAGGAGGCATCTCCTCTGAGTCCTCTTTCTTCCTTCTTACCCTCAATTCTCTAGTGTCCTGTCCTGCATATTTTCATCCAATCCACCTACAGTTCATGGGGCTCTGAATAGATTTCTCCAAGACAAGCTGCTTTTACATATGGATTATGTCAAGTTGAGATGCTGCATGCTTTTGTCACTCTCTTAATTAGCCAGCAGAATAAAAACAGGGGGTACAACCAAGAATTAGGTTTACTATCAGAAATGAGCTTTCCACCAAAGAAATGTATCTATACAGCAGAATAAACATCTAATAATACAGCTTCTAATCTTTTTCATGAGTCCCTCCTCTTTGTACTGCTATGTGTTCTATCATTAGCAATAGTCAGGGATGAACATATGATCAAAAGCTGAGGCATGAGAAATAGTATAGTAACTGCCTTGAATGCGGCTGATCCTGGTTCAATCTCTGGTACCACCCTGAGCACTGTCAGGAGTGATCCCTGAGAAATGCTAGGTGTGGCTCAAAAACAAAACAAACATGCCCCCCACTACCCCCAAAACTGAGCAAATCGGATTTTCCTCCCTAAAACTGGCAATTAGAAACCAGACACTCAGTTACTAGGGCTCATGTGCAAAATGATACTCTTATTTTAAG